CGGACATATTTTTAATATTTCAGTATGTTTGAAATAATCAAATGACAAAACCTCAGTAATATAATTGGGCCATTTTCTCTGAGGTACGACAACATCCTGATTAATATATATTGCATCAAAATAATTCGGAGATGCATACTCACTTAATTTATTTTATGGTGTATACGCTAATGTTAATTTATTTCTTAAATCCATTTTCCCCTCAATATGGCGTCTAAACACAATTGAAAATCTCAACAATGAAGGCAAAAACACTTTGTTTGAATCTGAAATGTTGATAGTAATCAGTGATTCTATCTACGACATTAACCTCGAAAACGTAAAATGGAGAGATTCATAAAAAAAACAGCTCCGTGTATTAATTAATCCTTACAGGTAAAATGTTGATTAATAAACTGAAGTGTTGAAGAAGGTGAAGTAAAATGTGAAGGTGATGTGTTGAATAAACACTTATCTCTTCTATAGTTTGTATTGTGCAGAAAGAAGGCTGAAAAGTTGCAATTTTAGGAACTTTACCCTTCCACAATCTGATATACGTGTAGAAAGGGCAAACTCATTAGTTTACCCCGATAAGTTACTGAGGGAATTCAAATAATTTTTTACAATGAAACTTTTTCTATTTATCAGTAACTTGTCATATTGGTTGAGCACTTGTTAAGTAGCCAACCAGAATATCATCTGGAGGTAGAGAGAACCTCATCAATTGATCATATCTGTTTAAAATCTGTTTTTCCGTTAACCAGTTGTCGCACCCCTACGAACGACAACCCTCAGAAGTCGAAACTTGTGCGAGCTAAGGATTAACGAGGTCTTACCTTTTAACGTGTGATTCCTAACACGGGTTGGACGGTAGCAAGTGAAGATCGATCGTTCAGACTAGGGCTTGAACCACCGACCAACACGGCAGTCAATTCGAGTGAGTGAACAAAGCACACACGCCGAACCGCTTGGCTACCGACCGACCAGCAACAATTATGATAATGGGGTATGCTCTGTTTTCGATAATAATTTTTCTGACCATCGTTCCATCCTATTTGACCCCGGACTTCCGGTTGACGAGCCAAGATCAATCAGCAAATTTCAGCGAAATTTTTTCGAGAATACAATAACTTGATATCTGTAATGAAAATTGGGAGTCTCTTTTCACCCTGGAAAATATGAATGGTGCCTTTTAATAAATTTTTGAAATTTTCGTGTACTATTTTGATAAACATTTCCCTAAAGTTAAACAATATAAACATCACCGTACGAAGCAGCCCAACTGCAAATGGGTTACTGACGATATTAAGATAAATTTTCGTGTACTATTTTGATAAACATTTCCCTAAAGTTAAACAATATAAACATCACCGTACGAAGCAGCCCAACTGCAAATGGGTTACTGACATATTAAGAGGTCCAGCATGAGATTAAAGGACATGTTTGTGCTTAAAAGCCAACATCCTCTATTGAATGATTTCTACAAAGCAGAAAAGAAAAAGTATGAAATCTTAGTACATAACTCAAAAAAACATTACTTTCAGCATAAAATAAATAATTCAGACAACCCTACTAAGGCAGCATGGAGTGTAGTGAATGAATTAACTAATAAATCACGCAAGCAAATAAAATATGAAAATAAAATATTCGAGTCTCCTTAGGAAATCTCTGAGATATTCAGCAATTTTTTCAAAGAAGAACCACTGAAATTAATATCACAAATTGAATCGCTTGATGAAGATATAGCTAATCAATATTTGAATAATATTGAAATACAGTCTAGTTTTTTTCTCCTCCTTCCGTTTAATGAACATGAACTATTTGTCATGTTCAACAGAAAACTGAAAAATAAATTTTCCTCTGGATCGGATGAAATACCACATGTGATCGTTAAACGTGTTCTTAAACATCTTATGATATCACTAGTCTATCTCATAAATTTATCATTTGTAAATGGAACATTCCCGCAAGCCTTGAAAACTGGTAAAATTACACCTGTATATGAAAAAGGTGATTCCTCTCTAATAAGTAACTATCGACCACCCTTCATTTTTTCCAAAATATTTGAATTATCATTCTTGGAGAGATTGTTATCTTATCTCAAGCATTTCAATATCATAACTGCGGATCAACATGGTTTTGTGCAAAATAAATGGACCACAACTGTAATACACTCATATGTTTTTGAAGTCATTAAATGCATTGATACGGGTGAGTGCCCTATTGGGGTATTTTGCGACCTAAGCAGGGCGTTCGATTGCATCAGTCATACAATCTTATTAAATAAACTGTCTCGATACGGTATCCGAGGTGTCACTCATGAATGGATAAAAAGTTTTTTGAGTAAACGTAATAATCGTATCACTATTGGTAACCATATGTCATCGTGCAATGATTATTCTGAAGTAGGTGTTCCTCAGGGTTCGGTCCTAGGACTTACCTTATTTATACTTTATATCAACGATATTGTGAAGATATGTGATAGCTCAATTATTGTTAACGCTGATGATACATCAGTTATTGTATCAGATAGGGATGAATATTGTATACGTCAGAAATGTAAAAAAAAATCCTTTGATACGGCTCAGTGGTTTAGAGCCAACTCACTTCATCTAAATACAAATAAAACAAAATGTATACGCTTTCACAATAGACAAAAAGAAGCTAGTGTAGTTGATTTCGTAGACTTACAGTCAGTTGATAAGACCGTCCGATTTCTTGGATTATATATAGACGAACATATTTCCTGGGAAGAACACTGTAAAATCTTAATCAATAAATTGAATTCTGTTTCCTATCAATTACGTAATTTGAGATCAGTTCTTTCTAATGATCAGTTGTTGATGCTCTACTATGCCCAAGTAGACTCCGGACTTCAATATGCCATCTTCCTCTGGGGAATGTCTTCGAGAGCTAATGATGTATTTGTTGCACAAAAGAGAATAATCCGAGTAATGTTTAGTCTATCCTCTCGACAAAGCTGTGTTGATGGATTCAAAACATGTAAAAACTCTTTATCTTTGAAGTTTGTGTGTGTATATTTAGTAACTATAACAGTTTTTCAACCAGATCTAGCAATCATAAACATGACACAACACTAGGTCCTTTATTATTTAATAAATTACCAGACTATGTAAGTGAGAGTGGAACCGTAACATGTTTTAAAAAATGTCTCAAACATCTCTCAAAGGCTCAGCGATGAATCCTGGGATCACAGCATTATATCAATTAATACATCTCTAATGAATTCTTCTCATCATATATTACTAAATATAAGCGTATTTACAAACCAATCTTTACTACCAAAAGAAAAGTACTCTCGAAATAGAATTGTCAAGACAAATAGTCAAATTTGGGAAAACTGGTTCATTATAAATAAATTATGTGGTAAAACTACAAAACTCCGTAATCAATCAATAATAAACCCAAATATACTCAATACCTTGTTTTGCACTATAGTTTTAACCATTTTATATGAAACACCGACAAATCAATAGGCATATACCTATACTATTGTATTGTACATGTAAACCATGCTTCGTCAACAAGAGTTTTCCCTCTTAAACAATAAAGTACATTTTTGATTGATTGATTGTGTCTGTGTATTGTCAATTCTACTGATTTGAATATAAATATGTTCACTTTGTATATAATTTTAGCAGTCAGATAAACATTTACGAAGTTATGTTGAAATATAATATATTATTTTCCATTATATTTCACACCTCCAAAACAAATAACATTCATTTTTAGCTTGTAACCTTGTGTACTAAAATTTATTTGATTTATACCAACTGTTCGTGTTATGAATTGTGTTCTTTGGGTAACTAATCATATAATAATCGTGCGGAAAAACAATATTAAAAAACGTTGACTTTGAGTACCAAGAATGTAATATTGAAGTTTGCTGAAGCATCGATTGTTTATTAGTGAAACCTTATCTGAGAATCTAAAACCACTGTGTTTCATTCAAAATATATGGTTCTCAACCAGATTTCTTTGATAAGGGTTTTGATGTAGATCAACATCTGAAAAGAGGATCTCATAGGAATTTAAAGTAAAAAAAATCACGCCGTTTTCATCAGTTCTCAGTTATCAAGTTTTGAATCTTTGCTTCATCCATAAAGTATTGATTATTATCTCTGTAGTCTCTTGAAAATATTTCAGCAAATGTTTACTCACAGAAGCACAAGTATTAAGCAAGTTATTCACCGAATAAGTTATTAAATACTTTGTGTACAGTCTAAAGATACATATATCTGTAATGTCGTAGAACTGACCGAAACTTAAATCATCTAAAAGATGACTCCCTACACAGTAAGTTGATAGGATCAATCAAATTCCCACAATGCTATTATTCTATTCCAAATATGCCTACTGACTATATGTGAAAAGTTTTCTTTTCTTATACGAGGAATTGGACAAATTTTGGATATGCAGTTGGTTACCTTGTTCACAGGCAGATGGGGCGACGACAAACCTGTTGTTTGTTGTATGCTTCAGCTTAGTTCGAGGATTGATTCTCTGAAGGAATTTGATTTTCAATTATCGGAAATCATCGACTTTATGTTGATGATATACACTAACTTGCACTGACGAGTGGCCAAACAGCCCGAAACCGGTCTGCAAGTGTGTTCCAATAATTGAAAATCTATTGCGGCAGTTGTATCGCCAACAGCATATGCAGAAATAACTTCTGTGAAGAATCCTGCACTGACACCTGTCAGATATAATTCAACGCCCCCTTCGTGGTATTAGCCAGGGGAGTAGTTGTTTTCTGATAGGTGTCAGTCCATCAACCTACAGTGTAGAGAGTTGAGACTGGCCTGAATGAATTGTTCTTTTAGATGATTTGATTTATAGCCAGCCTTCAAGTATGCCCACTGATTATATGTGACCGAAACTTGATGAAAATACATTAAACCATATTCAAAAAACAGTTTAATATGATCGGTTTTGTAAACTGTCAGTGGAAGTCTCACATTGAAGGGTTTTTTTTTATACATATATCTTTGTTTCAGGTGTTCCATGTACCAGGAATACGCTGGGATAAGCCTCAGTTCCTCTCCAAATCCTATCTTGGATTCATCACGTTCAATCTCATCAACTATGGACTTTTGTTAGCCGAATTTATCACTGTCAAAGTTGCTAAACCTCCACCATTCGATCCTGGTTTCTATCATCATTTCTTCAATGGATGCTATGCTGTATTGATGTTCATCGTTGTGGTTTTTATCAAAGTAAGACGATGTTCGTCATAGAGTTTTCGTCTCCTGACGAAACGAACATCGCATCGTCCGAAAAGAGGAGGAAAAACGGACAAAATATCGAGACTTGCTCTTTAAACTCCGCAGGCTCTACCCAAACCATTCTGTAAAAATGGTGGTTCTGATTATAGGGATTCTTGGTGGAATGATGGACACGCTGCTCTCCAATCTAAAAATCATACCGGTTTGCCGTGATGCGGCAGACATATATATCTGGAAAACATATATTTTTTGTCACTTCCAACGCTCAGTAACTCGGTTATTATTCATCTTAGGGTATATGTTTATTGGAACTTCTAGCCCTAAAATAAAATGAATATTCTACCATCAGAGTTTGTCCCCTATATTGTGGGACACCCTGTATATGGGCATACAAATTTTACCAACGAGGAATACATTCTGATAAACTAAACAAAAATTCTGTCAATTGCACAGAAAATCTTATCGATAATTCAACTAACAATCCACAGGAACATAGACAGAATTTCCCATAAGAGGTGACCGACATTCAACAACTTTTTTGGCCAACCCTGTAGACACACGAACGAAATAATTCTTCTAAAAAGTTCGATCAGATTTGTCTGAAAAAAATAAAATCCAGAAATCAACAGAAAATACGCATGTGTAGACAAATTTCTTGATATATATTAGACATTCAATGCTTTTTGTGGCTCGCCCTGTCCAGTTACAAAAAACTTCTACGAACTAAAATTGCTTTTCTTGATCACTAAAATAATACCTATATCTAAAAATTTGGAGACCTACCGAATTGCATGTATCAAGAGTCATGTCCTTTTCAGCATTCTCGTTCGACAACGTTTAATGACATATTTCACCATTTAGCAAAAGCACACTTGCGAAACAAATTATACACAAAAGATTAGGATGTAATGTTACCATATCTCTTGAGGAATTCAAGGTGATATGAGATCCACAATAACGCCAAATTTACCGGATCTCAGGTTTACTGTAAAATGCATATTGAGCTGATACCGGTGTATGTTACTGCCACACCCTCTGTAGGCAACATCGAGGAACTTCTGGAGTATAAAATTGCATACAATGGGTCCAATGTGAGATCCCAACAAAAATTCAATCATGCCTTTCCCCACCCTTCCTACACCTGATGAACTCTATATACACAGGGATACAAGACGAGATCCGAAATCGGATCTCGCCTTGAAAAATGGATCTCTACTTGTATGTTTTATATCTTAGAAGGATCTCGAGCCAATTTCATTCTTTTACCATAGGCGTGCGCTCATATAAAAACGAAATTGAAGGATATTATAGAAGATTTTGTGGTAAGTTACTTATAACCAACTACAAAAATTAAAAACAATAACAACATTGAATAAACTAAACACAATATAAATTTTCGACCGTTTATTATAACTAATCCGATGCCCGTAGAACCGTCGGATCCTTCGATACTAAAGCACTGAACGCGTTGGATGAGAATCTCATCCTAAGAGCGGTTGAAGGTCTCCGGCAATTCGGGCGGATCACGTGGTAAGAGAGCCTACTGGTTGTGTTATTCTACTGTGTACAGATCTCTTCCGTAGAATTGCAAATTTTTTTGAACTAACACCAAATGGCAATTCTGTTTGAAGTTTCAGGACACTTTTCAGGTCCTTTTTTTCTCCTATGTAAATATACTAAGGGATATATTTCTTGTTGTCAATCGATTGATGATTTCATGAATCTTTTGCAGCGATATGCTATTACTTTTTTGGTAAAAATAATTTTGGCTTATTATTCATCATGAAACAAAAAAAGACGTGGTTTTTGTCTAATTCAATGTTCATAGGAAAGTAGTTGTTTCAAATCAAAATTACATTATTGTAATTGAATATTTATGTAAAAGTAATTGTTACGAAAGTGTTTTTTCTTTCAGTTTCTATCTGAAATAAACTTCTATGCATGATCTACACGTTGTTGCGAAGAATTTATTTTGAACTCAATTATTTTCTTGCATCCTTCTGAACTTTCTGGCATTTGTTTACAAAGATGAAAAAGTAGAACTACTATTAAGTATTAGAAGCATAGACCAGTACATGAAATGTTCATTCTAGTATTTAGGTTTATCATTTCAAAATATATTTCACGAAATTCTGGTAAAAGTCTCTTTGATTGTTAATGGTCTAACATAATAATCCTGGTCAAATTAAATTTGCTGATTTTATTTCAAAAGTTAAAATGTCATTTTAATGATATACATACATGTTCGCTTGAAGTATATGTTTTGTGACAGTTTCATATGCGTCAATTTCTTACAAATTTCGAAAGTGCCCACAACGGCTCCTCTATGTTTTGTCTGTAGTGAAAAAAATTATGGACCAGGTGTTGGTGTTTCTACAATGACAAGGAAATGAATATGTTGAAGTAAGTCAATACAAAAAGTGATTCCATCCAACTTTATTTTTTGACATCTACTCACAGCACAAGAAACCAATTTACCATTTCAGTACTTCACTATCGAAACCAGGTAAATTTTCGTGGACCCCTGCTTACGAATTGTGAACCTCCATTTTTTCACTACGTCAACGTAGACCTCGTCGAGTCTCTCGTGGGGAATCACTGATTTAAACAAATTAAATAGATTCTAAAACGACAGAAATACTTTTTCTAGGCCTGTTTGTGTTTTATAAACTATTTCTGATTATTCTGATCAAATTTGAAGAATAGTAATTTGTAATCACAAATAAGATTTTGTCAGAAAGATGATTGTTTAGAAAAAACTATTTGGTTTTCAAGAACAGAAAGAAAAAATTCAATAAATATCAATGATATGTGTTTATAGGGAAATGTATAGATCATCCATAGATATTTTCTTACATACAAACTGGAACAAATAGTCCATCTGAAACAACTACCTCACCACATCCTAGTTATGGATTGAACTTTCGAATGAAAATTTATTCAGATATCATTCACATTTACCAAGAATCACTATTACTTTCAAGTAGGGCCCAGGTTTTTCACTTTCAGGTGAAGGTATCAGCAGTAATTGGACAATTTGAAGATATATTCAATCTGCAAACTTTCCACGCCCTTCAAACTATTAAATACTGCCAATGTAAAGTTGAAAATGAGTGTTTCAACTCAATTGAATATGAAATGTATATAAAAAATCGCTAGGTTCACCAACCTATATGGGAAAGTAGTTATTTCGTATGAACTTCTTTCCAGTTTCACTGATATTCGTTAGAGATGAATACAAAATAAAAGTTTTTGTGCGTTTATTGTTATTTTTATTATTCAAATACATGTATTGATTTTGCTATTTTGATAAAGATGTGTTGTAATTATTTTATTTCTTTGTTACACTAAGAGTTTTTTAATTATTCTAAATTTTGAAGGTTCGTGGAGGTTTCATTGCCAAACCGCTTCATCTGGCCAGTGGAACATTTGAAACAGAGCCTCTACAAGATGAGAATAATCCAAGGGCTGAATTCAACATCTCTCAGCTTAATCAGTCACGTATCGGACTTCTGAGCCAAGCCCTCATGCTGATCATCGTATCTGGTTTTTTATTTTCGGAAACTCTTTCTGCCTTTTGGAAAAAGAAGGTAATGAAATTAAAAACAATTACAAGTCATCATAACATTTTTCACGCTTCAGATAAATTATTCCTGGCAGATACTAATAAAATGCTTTCATATTTTAGTCACACAATTGCATATGTATTTTTAAACGTTCAAGCCAGTCTCTATATACCTACACAGTAGGTTTAATGGACTGACGCCTATCAGAAAACAACTACTTCCCTGGCTAATACCATTTGCTTTAGATTTGTTGACTGCCAGTCTTCAAGCATAGTCCACTGACTAATAAGAAAATTTTTCTTCTTTACTCAGAGGAATCGGGCAAATTACGGATATGCAGTTGGTTAGTACCTCGTCCACTAGATGGAGCGACATTTGGTGATGTTCGCTCTAACTTTGGAAGAGGAATGAAATACTCGAGGATGGTCACTATCTTGCACTGATGAGTGGCTAATAAGCCCGAAACCGGTCTGCAAGTGTGCCCGTTCCATAATTGAAGGTTGACTCTTTCAGTTGTATTGCCAATTGCATATGCAGGAAATTTTCTGTGAAGATTCCTGCACTGACGCCTGTCAGATATAATCCAACGCCCTTCGTGGTATTAGCCAGGGTAGTAGTTGTTTTCTGATAGGCGTCAGTCCATTAAACCTACTGTGTAGGTATATAGAGACTGGCTTGAACGTTTAAAGTTCATTTGCTTTAAAAAAATTGAAGAAGAATTTCGGGGACTGTTGGATTTTAATTTTTTTCCCAGAATATATGTGCCACTAATACAAATGTCGAAATAATATGATTTCAAATTATGACTGGACTGACCTGTTGATTTATGAAAGTTAATAACATTATCCATGATAGTCTTATGCCTACCGAGGAATCTACGGTGTTAGGGAAACACGTTTAGAAATAGAAAATGTTTGTGAAAATTGTTTATTTATTATCGTGGGTAAGATGATTTCCTGCCATCGCAGAAGTTATTTTCTCAACTTTCTCAAGGGAAAAAATCTCAACTTTGTGACTGCGCATATGCCACATTTTTGAACAGTAAGTGAAACACATTATGTTGGCAATGATGATAGTGAGACATGGGTTTTAGGAAGATAGCGTGTAGTTAAATTTGATCCATGTAAACACCTTCCAGAAAGTGAGAGTTAGAACCTCGGTTGTTATAACAACGGATGCTCTTGTAAAAGTGGTCAATGTCAAATCTGAGGATTCATACTTGTGATCACATTGTTGGGAGGCAAATACTAAACATACCTGACCACAAAAGCCTGATCACCTAACTGCAGTCTAAGGTTGAATTTCTCGGTTAATTTAGAAATTATGTTCCTAATACTAATATGTATCACTTTCAGACATAAGTTACCATTTCAGGAATGGATATTTTATTAAATAGCCTTAGGCAGGCACATATTACCAAATTTCAATAGCCCTACTTAGGTTGAGTAAAAATCACAAATTCAATATGAAGCTACTTTGAAGAAAATGTGTTTGAAATAAAGTATTGTCAAAACCAAGTAGTTTTATGTAGGTTGTGTGTTGAGTTTTATTTTGCAATCAGTCACGTTATTAATAAAATGTTTCATCTTAGTTGAAGTACAAATTGATGATTGGAGCTATTCGTAAGAGAATCCTATATGATGTGAGCTTTGTTAATTATATCATTTTTTCATCAATTGTGCAGGTCCTCAATAAGTTTTTATGTAAGTTTGAAAGTCATTGATATATTGACTGTATTAACTCCAGTTGATGATGCTGACAACAATTTTGTCACCTGGGATCTGTCACTAGGAATCCAAAAGAAGAATCCTTAGTATATTGTTTGTTAGTGATTCTAGCCATCTATAACTTTTGTCACCCCAGACATGCTTTTTCAGAATTGAATCTGTCTGTCTCTTATCTTTAAAATCACTCGTAAGCGTCTTTGCTTAAGACTTCTATATTTGGTGAAGTAACACATAACCTTGGTAAATTTATAGGGTCATTAATTACCATTAGCTCAGTCAACAGTGATCAGAAGTCAGCAATTGAATTTCTATAACAGAAGCGCTTTGATTGTGTTTCAATAACACAGGCCAATAAAAAATATATGGAAAAAACTTTTTTAAATACTGAAAATTTGATAAACACAAACTTTAAAAACCAGCTATTTAAGTATAATCTGAGATCAAATTGAAAGGGTATATCTTTAGAAGAGATTAATTTTTGGGAAAGAAAGTTTTTGGCTTTCTACTTCTCCATCTTGATACAAAAAATGTGGCAATCAAGATGGAGAAGTAGAAAGCCAAAAACTTTCTTTCCCAAAAACTTGAGATTATTGTGGTAATCACAGCTGTAAATTTTTCAATTATGTGTGTGCTCATTCTCTTTGTTATCTAAACTCTTGATTATTACTTTACAGGCATATTCTTTCCATAAACACTTCTGTTGATTTGTTATGGTTGAACAGCCAAAATAGTCACCAAACTCGTTGACAGTATTTTCAATTCCTCTGTATCATTTCGTTGAATACCAAGATACACAAATTTTTCTCTGAAGCAACTTATATAAAGTGGATATAATAATAATAATCGTATTTATTTTTATCAAGCTTACATTTAAAATTTATATATCACAAAACAAAACTTAGCGATGATAAAAGGCGAAATTCAATTGTTTCCAGGCTCAACCAAAAACAATCGTTCTTCCACTCAACTTCAAAGATTCCGCTGGGCGCCTATACTAATATGACACACAGTAATGAACTGAATTATACTGATGAAAAATTGTAAAATTCTAAAAATTAAAATAAATGAATATATTTTACAGTAATTGAAAATAAAATAAAAGTCATACTTTGGGGTAAACCATTATAAACGTAGCCGATTTGGCAGCTAAAAGATTGTTTAAAGAGAGTGAGGAACCAGGAACCAGAAACATTGTGTACATCTCCTCTGAATAACTTTGTTATACAAACATGTTGAATGAAGGAGTCTACTTTTCCATGTTCAGCCAAGTAATCTCATTCAATTTGTATGAGATTCTGTAATATTTTATAATACCATGCTGATATTGATTAGGTAAATGCAGCGCATATAAAGCATGGATGTAATTGATCATAGATAATGCAAATGACTCACCAATAATTTTCTTAATACTTAGAGGAAGTATGTGTCTGTTGCTGAAAATAATTCCGAGATTCGTTTTGAAGGATATTATCTATATGTTTATGGAACTTCGAATCATTGCCAGTTTAAGAGAAGCATTATTTACATTTATATTGATAATAATAATTATAATATAAGTTATTCATGACATTTTATAATACATACATCGGAAATAATAAACAAATTTCTAAATAAACTAATAATAACTTCGAGAAGTGAAACTTGTGCCAAGGTAAGTCATAAAAACAGAATGTTTAAATCAGATTTTTTTTTTTAGTTCAGGACCAAATAAAATTATAATTAGATTTATTTAAATTTATAATGAGACCATGTTCAGAAGAAAGAGTTATGAATTGATTAAGGTCATGATTCATACAGTGTGACACACTTGATATGAAGACACCCCTTTTAGTAATTTTTGAAAACAAAAAACAGGCGTAGATCTTCATGGGCTGCACTTTTCGCAATACTTAGCCTGACTAACAGCTTCAAACCCAGCCTACTGCGTTCCCGCGAAAAGGGTGAATTCATGATATTATACTTCGCATTGCAGATACCAAAATAAGTCTTTGAAAAAGTTGATTTTGACATAACGAATTTCAACAAAAAATTCGAAATTTCAACTTGTTTGTAATTTTCTTATTCAAGTCCCATTTTCAATAAATGGTTTCGAATGAGAAGCTACAGAAATGAAAAAAAATGGCAAAATCATTGAAATGACTAAAATGAAAATTATTTTTTCATCAAATGTTTATTTCATTCCCTGTTATATTTTCTTCATTAATTGTCATTTAATTTCGACCGATGTCTCTGCGGCTTTTTAGTAACTAATAATCAAAATTTGAATTTTTTCCTAATTAAAAATAAGTAATGGTAATAATAAAATACATGGGCATACTTTCTGATCCCTATTCGGTAGATAATTTTCAAATAATTTCAATGCGTTCTTTGATAATTCTATATTGTATAGATGAAATAGCATTCAAAAGTTCATGATCGAGCAATATTAAAATTGTACAATAACCTCTATTGGCTGCTCAAATTAAAACATCAGTAATATTTTGAGACAAGAGTGAATTTTCTTCTAAATAATTTTTCGGCTGTACCTCCAAGGCCCTCTCTAATATTTTGGAGAATATGGGAGGAATACTTATTGTTCTGATGTTTCTAGGTTCTGATGGATGGATATTTTTTATTCGAAACTCAGAATTATACTTTTCCACGAAGTTGGGAATACATTTTCAGTTATGCAAATACAATAATTTATTATGTTTGTTATATACTATGAGGGCAACACAATTTTATCATTTTTATTTGAATTGAAGGGGTTACATTTTAAGGAGTGATTAATTTTTTGGGAAAGAAAGTTTTTGGCTTTCTACTACTCCATCTGATACAAAAAAAGGGATGAGAGAATCTTCCAAAGAAAGGAAGTTTCAAATTGATTACTTCCTTCCTGTCTTTGGAAGATTCTCTCATCCCTTTTTTTGTATCAGATGAAGTAGTAGAAAGCCAAAAACTTTCTTTCCCAAAAAATCATTTTTATATTTGATGAACCATTACCAGAATATCATTTGAGGAGATTTCAGAGGTGGTTTGCATCACAAATAAACCATTAATTTCCTCAAGTTCAAAATAACCATTCCAGGTTGATTTTGTTTGAAATGATTGAGTAGACCATCTGGGGTATTTGTGCTAGGAACTGATTCAATACGGCACTTATTTATTATATTTACATCTGTTGGCAGGCATACTGTTTTCTTTAAGAGAGTTATTTTATTGTATTTCAACAACAGGTATCTTTGGTATTACGTACACTCAACCGTTATGCAAAAAAAGCCTTTTTCTTCAAGACTTACCGTTGGCCAGAAGGATACTCTGAAATTTCCACCCAACCTGACTCCTGAACAAGTGAATATCATATTTCTTTACAATTTAAAATCATTCATTTCAATGTTCAATCAACTTGTATTAATCCTATCTGAAGGAAAACCCCAATGTATTATGTATTTACGAATCATGATATGATAATTGCAATGTAAATACTCTTGATTATCATTTTGAAAATGATAGGCCAGAGAAGTAAACGTTTAAGTTCAAAGTGAAATTAAAATCAGAGCCTTGATAGAAACTAGTCACTCTGAAGTGTTCGTTAAATTATTAGATTTGTGTATCCTCGATTCAATTTTAGGTTCATTTCTGTGATTGATTGTTGTGAGTTGATCTTATGTTTCTTCTTTAATGTATTTCTTAAAAATTTCGCAAACTTGATTTAGCCCATCTTACCTTTAGATTCAAATCAAATATACTTTGTCAGAAGAAAAATACATCTTATAGACAGTCTTATAATTATTTTTTATAATAATTATCTCCAGAAAATCCTGTAAAAATATGCAAACAATATGAATAAAAATGAAGATATAAAATACGGAGCTTTGGTGGGCGTGGAGTAAATGAGTACGAGTTAAAAAATATAAATACAATAGAAAACATAAAAATATACTTAACGAATAAATATTAGTTCGTAAGTGTAACAAGAGTGGAAAGTATCAACAAAATATTCCTGAACTGTATTATAGACCCCATCAACCAGAAGCACTATGATCTCTTTTCTGAATCTATTGCACGCCTTTTTTTCTTAAATTTGGACTGACAGGTGATTGAATGGTTTAATACCATTGAAAATAGTTGAGTCCCTAACTAGGGAGGCCTCGGAAATAGCCAGTTCTATATTACTATCGTGACTGTGTGTATTATAAGAAGAAGTGTGGATCACACAAGATAAATGATGTTTCTTTATTAAATAGATAGTTTCCAAAATGTTTAAGGAGGCTACTGTTGAAAATATCATGAGCTTTGAAAAGAGGTTTGCATGTAACTTGGGAAGCAGCTTTGCACATGTATCGGCAGAAGACTCCCCAAAAGACAATTCCGTATCTAATATGGGAATCTATAAGAGCAAAGTAGGCTCTTGTAAAAACCATAAAATATAAGATTCCAGTTCCATAATCGATGTCTCGGTATCAATAGTTCGCCTGTAGTGACAATATTTTGGTAACAGTAATAATGAATACTAATGGAGTTTTATCCCTGTACAGCGCCATCTGCCTGCGAATAGATTAAAGAAATATCAAGGAGGTTGCGTACAGCGCTATCTGCCCGCTAATAGATGAAGCAATAATGCCGATAATTCTGTTAATACAGATCCCGAGCTTGAAAATTACAAACAAACATACATACTTACAGATGAAGCTAATATAAAGCGTGTAAAAAACAATGAAAAGGATCTACACCTACTCAAATAAACACCTCACCTATTTCAAGTGTTTTAAGGTGCAATTATTATTTTTTCATAAACAAGGGTTTGTTATGTTGATTATTAATTAGTAAAAATGTCGAAGACTGCATAACGTTGTGATTTAAAGATAAAAAAGTAGAGACTCACTGATTATAATAACGTTTTCTTTATTTTTCCCTCAAAACAATCCTTGTAAGGAAGGTTTGGATTCGGTTTCGCCCGAAACTGAGACCGTTGCCGAAATTCGGTTTCAGTTTCGGTCGTAAAAACCAGTTTCGGTCGGACACTACTTGTTGATCGAAACACTTGTCGAGGTGTTAAAAATAACGGTTTGGTGTTGGGATTAAACTCCAATAATGTTCATTACTACTCTAAAGGTCCCAAACAGTGCATCACTGATATTTTCTATTCCTTTATTGACATAGCATTCGTAGAAAGTTCCAAAAGGGTGCATATGAATATTTACGTTAGGCTTCATGAATGAAATCAAAATAAACTGAAAAGCTTAACTTCAAGAATCATGCATTATTTTGGTTTATTGAGCTTATCGTAAATTTAAAATCTCATTGAAAAATTGCATCAATGGTTGGTAGACGTTTCATTTTTTATGTTGGGTAACCTATTATAACCATTGAAAACGTCTCTCAATTTATTATTTGCAGGTTCCAATCAACTCTCGCAACCTTCACCACCTCATTTTTCGCGTCGTCGAGATCGGAGTTGCCATATGGTATCCTGCTGTGCTCTGGAACTGTATGCAACCTGCCGAACTATGGATTTTGAATCCCAGAAAATTGTTGGCGAAACTTGACCAACAGAAAAGCGAAGAGACTATTCCAGATGGAAATATCAAAATCGAGAGCGACGACGAGGCTTTCCTAGACAAACGAGAGTGTTGGATATGCTATGACATGGATAAGAAAGAGAAACTCATCCAACCATGTGATTGCACAGGAGACGTGTCCAGCGTGCATCACGAGTGTCTCAGAAGGTAAGAGATTGGGTAGTAAAGTAGAGTAGAGTACTTTATTTGACCATTTTACATACAGTACATTTATGGCAAGTCAAGAGTACATAAATCCTTGTTTGGAGTTACAAAGATAAATTCAGCTACTAAATACATATAATAGTAAAGAGTGTAGGTCTATTGAAAGTATAATTATAAAATCATAAAACTAAGGATTTAATAATGATAATAATTACTAATTGTTAATTTATGTCTAGGCAGGTTCAATAAACTTGTGGATCACAATGTCTGTCAAATTTATTAACGTTTTCATGAATCTCTAGTAAAACTTTATAGATATATAATGTTGGAAGTGACATAATGCCAAGTTGAATAAAAATCGGTCGACAGTGCTCTTTGGAACCTGCTTTGGCTATTAATCTTATGGTTTTTTCTGGCACCTAAAAACACTAACGGAAGTATCTGAATGACCCCATCAGAATAATATATGACATAACTGAGTAAAATAATCCATAGTAGGCTCTTTTGAGCGTCATCAAGTTTAATCTGATGTTTTTTGTCTCTTCATTATCTTGCAAATACTTTTTTATGTCCTCTCAAAATTTTCAAGGCTTTCAACATTTTTTGCTGATTATTATTTATGGTTTGCACAATTTTAACAGGAATAGTTGAGAGGTTAATGAACAGTGGACGAGCGACCAAGAAACTATTAATGGTTGAGAAGGGATGGAGAGGGATGCAGATATGCTTGAGTTCTTGTAATTAATTAGATAAGAACAAAAAAATTGAGAAAGAATAACATAAATAACTAGAAAGGAGGTGAAACAAAGAGCAGGAAGAGCAGGACAGAAGCCAAAGAAGAACAAGAAGTATTACTGAGGAATCTAGAGCAACAAGAAATGGAAAAAACAACAAGATAAAGAGGGAAAACAAATAGAACAACAGGAAAGACAAGAGAGAATACGAAAAAGAATAAGAAAGCAGATAAAAATGATGGAAAGAATGGTAAAGAACAAAAAAAATAACTATTGATAGGAACAGGAAAGAAGGAAAAGAAGAGTTGTTGAACAATCTGGTACCAATATTTCTCCTGGCATATAGATGCAACAGGATTTTCTTTATCCGTGCTTATAACTGGAAAAGGAAAATGACATTTTCTGCAGATCTATTTGTTTGGCACCCAGTAAAACTGACCAGAAGATGCTTACTGTGTTCGTTATTAAAATGATAGAGTGTTTAAAAAATTCTTTGAAACAATGAGACAATATCTATAGATAACCATAGACCAGATGAAAGAATGATTGGTCAGCAAAACCACAGCCTCTAAGTCCGAACTAGGAGATACTGACCCAGAGAGAAAGGAGTACTGGTCCAAAATTACAGAGGAGATGGGAGGGCATCTACTTGGTAATCAAAAAAATATGTGAATTGGTCCATTACCCTAAACAGCAAAGTATCAGTAATATAGTAATCTACGTAGATGTCTCCAAATTATTGGTAACGATCCTTCGAATCGGTTATTTAACTTTCATATTAATTCAATGCATTAATGCAAAGATCCTGATTGAGAGCTTGGAATTCATTAAACTCAATATACTTGTATGTCATGATTAAATAGGCTACTCGCAGGTCTTACTATTTCACTCAAATGCTAATGTACTATTTATCATTATAATGACATCTTCACTTGTTTCTTCCAAATATAAATTTATATACTGTAAATTATAATCTAGCAAAAAAATTTTTAAAAAAGAAATATTAATTTTAAACTGATATCTTTGAAGTTAAAGTCACTTGTAAACACTTTCTGATTCGTAAATTTTGTGTGCTAGAATCGTTACTTGCTTCAACCAAATTAGTTTTTTCAGTTCGGATCGTGATTAGGGAAAGCTCATTAACCGGTGAATGAAGTCCGTTTCATGTTCATAAAACTAGTAATTCAGATATGTTATATTCACTTACAAGTGCTGAGAAAAAAATTCGTTTCCACTTGTTACAGAACTACTATAAATTTTTATGACTTTGAAATGGTCTTTACAAATGAATCGAACGGTTTTGATGTTTTTGGAAGATCAGCAAAATTCATTCCCATTGAATACCGCAAAAATCTTTGTTATTAGTCCACAGTCAACAATCATATCTTGCAATGCTTTGAAGAAATGTCTATTACAGCAAGTTGCAAGCATTGGCCGTTATTGTATAAATTACCAAAATTTTACAAACTGAACTCTTTGATGTGAAATCTATATCTATCGCGTTTGTTCTTTCATTTATAGTTGTGAACATTGGAATGAGCATTCAAAGGACCACACACAAACCTTATGTCACTGTGACCAATTATTCATTGGTAACATGTGATAATTTTCGTTTCTCCATTATTAAAATTTTCTTCTCCATGTAATTTCATACTTCATTGTATTAACTATTGTTATATTGTTCTTCTTTTATTGTAGAATTTTAAACAACTTAGCTGAGGATGAACCTATATAGATTCGAAACATGTACTGATTGATGGTTTTACCGTTCTAACATCTGAAGGTGATATTAAATTGTGGATTTTGAGTTTTTCTGTATCGTATATCGAAGTGGAGTATCGAAATGAAGTTCATTTGGTGCTTCCCTCTGATTTGAATCTTGTACGTAAGATGGATCAAGTCTCAATTCATATGTATCGACAGTCAAATCTCTTAAATAGTCCAGAGTCAGCCTAGGAATATAAGGAAAATGATGATGGTCCAATGGTATCCATTTTCCCCATCTCCTCCTAAGATTTTCTTCCTCTATTATGTTCTGTATCCTATTTATCTGGCGAGATCTTTCCAGAATCAATTGGGCTAATTCTGCATCTGCTCCTCTCATTTCAATCACTGGGTGGTATTTGTTAATATTTGCTCCACCAATAAGAAGAAAGTCCCTCAAATGATAAATGTGATGGGTTGATATTGTGGTCGAAAAAAAGGTAAAGATTGATGTAATGTGTCCATTGTACGCTTCAATTATCCACCTTGTTTTGGTCAGGAGGCTAGAGGCATTAGCCTCTTCAGTAGTAGGTTGTTGTCTATTCTGTACACTGTAGGGCATTTTATGTACAATACCTAATTCTTCCAGAAGAGGAATGGCGCCTCTATAACCATGATCGACAACAAAACCAGTTTCTTATCTCATTAATGTCTCACTGAAAGTCATATCGTATAGTTGACGCGTTGTTGTTTCTGGGGTTGGAGAAGTGAGATCCTTGAATTGACAAAATATAACCGTTGGTTGCAACAATTAATGTTAGCTTCGATAAATGGTAATTTTTGTGTCTGCAGTAAGACTGCCGGAGTACTCTAAAATACTTGCTTTTCTCCACTTCACAAATAGGTCCCATTTATGTTACAAGGGCTTTACGCTGTTCAGGATTTTGATTATATAATATATTTGTGAACTGATTAACATGGCGTTGAATGTATTGTTCCCGAATGATTGAACCAAAACCAATATTTTCTGGGACGAATCTTTGTGCAAGTGATCTTCTCACATTTGAAACTGCCATACTTGTGCATTGCCGTGAAGGATATTTGAAAATGACTTTCAAAAAGTCGTCGGAGAGCCCTTGTTTTAGTAAGACTGCCGGAGTACTCTAAAATACTTGCTTTTCTCCACTTCACAAATAGGTCCCATTTATGTTACAAGGGCTTTACGCTGTTCAGGATTTGGATTACCTATATAATATATTTGTGAACTGATTAACATGGCGTTGAATGTATTGTTCCCGAATGATTGAACCAAAACCAATATTTCTGGGACGAATATTTGTGTAAGTAATCTTCTCACATTTGAAATGAAAACTCACATACTTGTGCATTGCCGTGAAGGATATTTGAAAATGATTTTCAAAAAGTCGTCGGAGAGTCCTTGTTTAAGTTTGCACAAACAAGCCAGGAGAACTTTTTTATAAATATATCTGCGGAACTGATCCTTATTCATTGGAATCATCGATTTAAATTCTTCTGTTCTAAGTTCTTGCAAGAAAGCCACAAAATTCCTTTTTTTTTATTCTACATGATCGAAAATTGAACTATATCCCAAGAAGAATTTGACCCAGGAATAAACCATTCTCATCCAAGTGATGTATGCAAGACCTAGCGTTATCTCTGATATAAATGTTTTTCAAAACAGAAACATTGACTAGGCACTTCAGAGTTAACCGATTTAGATTGAGTCTAGCGTTACATACTACGCACAATTCGCTCGAAGTTTGTTTCAAAATATTCAGCTTGAGAAACGTCCAATCGTCTTTCAAAGCAGTTGTCTCTTTCATTACTGCCCTGTTACAATTCAGGGACAGTCTTGTGAAGATGTTAATGGGAATATCTGGTAGTCCTGATTCTTCCCTTTGTTGAATATAAATCTCCCGTTTTTCTTCATTATTCACCCCATGTAATTTTTCCATTCGTTGTATATGGAAAATATTGTTGCATGTGAAACAATGTCTTTGATTTTGAATAAAAACCATCAGAGAGGTATGAAATATCAAATAAACAGGCAAAAGATTTAAACTTCACAAAAATCTCTTATTTACCATGTATACATAACATGAGTACAGACATTACTAATGAAATGTCATCATGACAACCAATAGACAACTGGTAATTTGATCAAAAAAACATGATACCAGTTGAAATTGTTTTTTTTTGAACCTGCTGTTGCCAAACTGCTCATAGGGATACTCTTCTACAGACTGAATGAATTTTTTAATGAAATCTTTGTCTAGTCTTAATGTTATATAATTTATTTATCTATACACGCACTTTATACACCAGGTACTACCACTTTGCTCCTATATAATAATAATAATACTTTATTTTCTTCAAAACTTTATTATTAACATTTACCTGAATGGTAAGCACTTATTTTTGTCTTTTGTTGTGAAAATGTATTGACTGAGTTTTTTCTGCATTTAGATTCAATGAATTCATGCAGAATCAGTCATAGAGATTAGAAAGAACTTCATTACATCTTTTTTCTAGAGAATAATTAGATTGATTGGAAATAAGTATGGACGTATCGTCCGAATACAATGTGAGATGTATGGATGGGTTCACTTTAACGATATCATTTATATATATTAGGAACAATATTGGGCACATTACTGACCCCTGAGGAACACCTACACTGATGTCAAGATAATTCCAATTACAAGTGGCCACCGTTTTCTCAGTTACTCCTGAGATACTAACGTACTGGCGACGTGCGTACAGATAAGATTTTATCCATTCTAGAGCAAATCCTTCAACACCAATTTCAATTAATTTAGTTATTAGGGTGGTATGGTTGACGCAGTCGAAAGCCCTGCTTAGATCACAGAATATCCCAACAGGGCTTTGGCCTGCATCGACCAGATTAGTAAGATTTTCATGAAAGAAGTGGACAGCACTGCCTGTAGATTTGTTTTCTTGAAATCCATGCTGATTATCGATTATTGAGTGATTTAACTTCAAGTGAGAATTCAGCCCCAAATAGGCGTATTCAAATATTTTTAAAAATATGGAGGGAATGGTTATGGGACGATAATTACTAATCAGTTGAGGATGTCTTTATTCAGAATCGGAACGACCCTGCGTTTAGGTAATCTGGAAAATTACCATTTGAAAATGAGAGGTTGACGAGATAGGTCAAAGGAGATACTATAAAAGAGACAACCTTTTTTAATAAAAATGATGGTATGTCATCAAAGCCAGCAGATCTCTTATTTTTTAACTTATTTTGTAGTAGTATATAATTTTGCTATTCTTTTTAATCTCTTTTGGAATATACTCTTCCTACTTACTTATGTAACTTATCTATGTCTGTACCTGGCTTTATTGGATTAATAAATATTATTAAATTATTATTATACTCATATTTGAGTAACTGATGATCATAAAAGAAAAAATACGATAATTTAAGCAACTATATAAAAATTATCCAGAGCATTACTATTGCCATTTTGGTTTTACTTCTGATAAGATTCTAAATCCCTTTTAATTCTGATATGGACTAATCAAATTAGCAGAATATATCTCCGTTATTAACTGTGATGTAAACTTTTTCAATCTTATACAAAAATCTGTCAATTGAAGTATCGCAAGTATTTTGCTTTAAAGTTGGGATTGCCAAATCTTGACGTCGAAGAAGTGAGAAGTTGAAAATTACTTGCCCGAATGAGAATTAAAAAATAAAAATGAACTCATTCATTAACAACTTATAATTATTTAAAAGATGCTTTTCTGGAGGAACCAATTGAATATATTATATTGAAATACTTTATACTACTTTACTCTATATCAGCTGGTTGGTTGAAATTATTTAAACGTCATTATTGTTAGTGTAATCATTATGATGTTTTCCTATCAGGTGGTTGATGGAAAGTGCTTCGTCAAGCAGTGATCCACCCAAGTGCAAGGTATGCAAATATGAGTACGACATCTGTAAGAGTGAAGAAGTAAAATGGGACAAGGGCTTCACTGCTCAACACTGGGGCAGTACCGCTTTCATCGTGACTTTTATGTGTCTTACAGTGGCTGGGGCATGGACTGTTATCCAACTATATGATAATTCATATATTAGGATGGTGAGCGTTAGCTGCACTCTCATCATCATTTATATTTGTGTCAGGTGAGTGTTTTTTGTAGTGAGAATTCAAGAATTCCTATTTATCATCAGAAAATTTCAAAATGAACTTCATAAATTGAAAATAATAAATACTTGAGAACGATAACATACTACATGGGCTGAAGTCTCAGACCTAACACATAGATAGCGCTAGTCGTATTGAATTAACCCTTTTTCAGTTAGTACTAACCTTCAAAAGAAAGCTTTTGAAATTTTATGATATTGTACTCACAAGTTTGTGAGTTATTGTGCTCAGAGTGACACTATTCTTGTTATTTTCAAAACAATGAATCAAAAAGAATTTCGTGTTTCAATTTTACACTGCTTTTTGATGGGAAAAATACCAAGCCAATCAATGGCTTGAAAAGTGTTAGGACTCCGCTCCATCAGAAACAACAATTAAAAGTTGGATCCATCACTTCACTCCGGAATCATTTGAGTGGAGAGCAACTGGCGAATCTCGTCCAAAGCGCCCAAAAGCACAACAATCGGCTGGAAAGGTTATGGCCTTGGTATTTTGGGATGCGCGTGATGTAATATTCGACTATCTTGAGAAGGGAAATACCATCAACAGTGAATATTATATAGCGTTATTGGAGCGTTTGAAGGCCGAAACTGCAAAGAAATGACCGCATATTTTATATATACAGAATTCTTCAAAATAAGTTGAAAGCAAGTTATGTGTTAGTTTGAAAATAAAATAATTGCTAACTCGTACAATCTCTGGGAAACAGACAGCCACTGCAATGTACTTAACATGTTTGATATACTGGTATACCTATTCACTTGTAAAATAATCCTCATTCCACGATTCTGTAACTTTTATGAAGCCGATACCTTATTTTGGCCAAATGAGTATAAAAGGCTAGGCACAATAATCAAAATGGGGTTGGATTATACAATTATATAATGTAATTTTTGAGTACATTGAAAGTTGAGATGAAATTCTTGAGAAAAAATATATTTTTTTTGTATTTTTTCTGTATATATAATCACAATGAGCATGAAGAGATAAACGATTATCCACCATGAAATCTAAGTACTTGAATTCACTTTATGTTTGTTGATGAATGATAGCTTATAACCAGTCGATAAGATCATATATTTTGTTTTGGAGGTGTTGAGTTGTAGTTTATTGTGATTCATGTACTTGAAAACATTTCTTAGTTCATTATTCATTTGATCAGCTAGTGTTTCTATATTATCTTCTGAAATTGATAACAAAGTGTCGTCTGCAAAAAGGTTCATGAAATCAGAACCATAGATGGTATCTATATCATTCAGGTAGATTAAAAATAATATAGGTCCCAAAACACTCCCCTGAGGTACCGCGAAAACGACATCCCGAGATGGTGACACTGAATCCTTTATTTTGGTTACCTGTTTGCGTTGTGATAAATAATATAATCAGTCAGCCATAACAAAACAGTTTCCTGATACCAATACTTTGCAGTTTATTTAGTAACATATAGCGATCAATTGTCTCAAAAGCTCTTTTAAGATCTAAAAATATGGCTATAATATAATGTCCCTTATCTATTGATTCTTTCCATTTTGATATTGTGACTTGTAATGCAGACTCACATGAATGGTGTTTTCTGAAACCTGACTGATATTTTAGTAAAATATCATTATTTTCTAGATATTCAATGAGTTGATTATAAACTGCGAGTTCTAATATTTTTTCATCACAAGGCAAAGTGCTGATTGGTCTAAATTCCCAGGATTTATTTGTGTTAGGGACTTTCTGAATAGGCACAAGGACATTGGTCTTGCTGAAACTGAGACCTTTTTTTTAGGCAGACGATAAATCGTTCTACAAAAGTGGTATTAAAATGTTAGAGCAGCGCTGGAATGTTTGTGTCTCTTGATGAATAAAGCCATTTTTGAACAAAAAAACACGTTTTATCTCTTTGGCCCGGAACTTTTCAGCCCATGTGATATATTGAAAAGACAATATTGTTTAGGACAGATTAGTTGGCTAGCCCATATAAATTTATTGAATAACAGATTAAGCTCTATTTGTGGTGTGATACGATATTGATTTCATTGGGCATTATATTTGGGGGTTCTTTAGTATACTCACAAAAAAAATCATTTCTCAAAAGAGAATTCTGAGATGTTTCTTAAATCTGGTTTGAAGAAGCTCTTGTGGGGAGTTTTTTCGTGAACTTGACATTTTGACAGTGCCCTCGTACTTCTTGGGCCTTGTCTGCTTTTTGAAAAATATTGTCACCTGATTACCGGAAGTAGTAGTCAATATTTTAATAATATGACTAATAATATCAGGCATTGTAACAAACTGGCTATTCCCAGCCATATCTCAACATATTATGAGAAAGGAGCATACTTTCAGGCAATAATAGCATATAGTTCTCTACCGAAATTAAAAATTTCAGTCTTCAAGAAGTTTGGATGTTCTGTCATTTCTTACTTGAGACATTAAACGCTACTATTTGTTTAACTGCTGGCTAAGTTGAAATTTGTCATGGAAATTTTCAATAAAAATGAATATGTAAATGCTGTTTATCATGATTATTTTTAAAAACTTTTCTCAACTTCATATAATTTTTAACTGTAACTTTGTCAATGATGAAACAATAATCTATTTTGATTATTGAAATCAGTACCTATCTTTTTTTTAGGGTAAACAGGAATGAACTTCTTGAAAGTTTGACTCTTGCTGTGTCCACTGTTGATGCAGTATTGCAATAGAAAATATTATTTTTTATGGGAAATGAACTATATGAATGTTTTTATGAATTGTTTTTGTGATGATTAAAAAATTTCCCCTATCGTATTGCAATAGAAAATATTATTATTTTTTATGGGAAATGAACTATATGAATGTTTTTATGAATTGTTTTTGTGATGATTAAAAAATTTCCCCCTTTGGTGACATAAAGTCATAATCTTAGAACAGGGCCTTTTTGTCTTTGGAAGTTCAAGTTTTTTGAATGTTTTCAAGGTTGAGAGAATCATCGTTCAGACTATTCAGTTATTACTGATGAGGGTTTGAGAGTGGGTGTTTTCACCCAAAACATTGGGTTGAATTTGAGAGTAGGAGTGATTCTTGTAAGAAGAATTTTACATCAACAATGTTGGGTCCCAATTTTGATTTTTGGACTCGCTGGCCCCTTTCCAGTGGACTGTATACTATTAAATAATGCAAAGTAGGTAATTGAAATTAAGTAACACACTTTATTCTGCCACACCTTGTTTACAGATATCACAGAATGTCAAATACGATAAATGATTTGATCACTTTAATTTGATGTGAGAAACACTTTCACTGAGCTTATACAAATGAGAACCTTTGATATTCTCCACAATTAAGTAACACTTCTACCTTAACTAAAAATACACCCAATAGACTTTTCTTTCGTTATGCTAAAACCATAATGCGTGAGCGAGGGTACTCTTCAGCGAGATGTAAAGAAAACAGGACCCACGGTATTGGTTCCCGAGGGTAGGTAAGTATCCCTTGACAACCAGGCACAGACAATTACACAGAGGCGTAACAGTGTTTAGGAAAATCAATTTGAATCTTTGTTTATATTCCCAAAAAATGTAGCTGTTAATTTCTTCAAGTATTATTGGAAAAATAGCAAGCCATAACAGGTTTTTTTCCAAGTAAAAATGTTATTTCAAAATTCTACACTATTTTATCTATTTTTATATAATGTAAATCAATAAAATGTAAATTATTACCAGTACCAAAACTACACTTGATTAAATATCAAAGTTTCTATATAAAACATAACATTTCTTTCTGCTTTGGGACACACATTAAACATGATGACATTTTTTAAAAGCCTTTATTTTTCTTTCAGTTGGTACTAGATTCAGTAAAAAATAAATAGCCTCCTTAAATATTCATAATTCCTAATTAAATTATTTTTCCCCACATGAGAAATGGTGAAGTCGCTCATAATAGAAGTGGGTGTAAGAGTGATAAGAAAAATAGAAAAAATGGTTTTTGATTTGTATGTTTATTCAAAAACATTCATTCTTTTAATTTCCCATATTTCCATCACAATAAACAAAAAGGCTGGTTGAAACCATGATCCAAAGTCAGACAGTACTGTTTGGCCTGCCAAAGATACTTTTAGTGGTACAAAGCTGAACCATTGCATTACACGATAGCCATCTTATTGGAGCCTGGCTTCCTTAACCTTTCAACTGGTAACCATTGCATTACTGGACCCAACTGTCAACTGTCCTTAAAGAACAAACCTGATTAGGTTGAGATGATATCTTCCCTTACTTAGATGCAATCTATGGGATCTCCATAAAACTTGATCCACAAATATCAAAGATAAACAAGGCTGTCCAAATCATTCTGTTGCAGAACTTAGTTTCGACATCGATGGCCACTGCAGCTTTCACTGCAAGGCAGCATTCATGAGCCAATACCAGACATTGTGGTTTCGACCTACTATAGGTCTCTTCAGTGGTGACGTGAAAGCTTAGTGAAATCGAAGTACTCTTCTTGACGTATCAACTGATACGTAAAGTTGATACGTCAAGAAAAGTGCTTCGAATACGCCACTGAAGATTACTACCGCAGTTTGTAACCAAAGAAGAACACGGCAAAATCCGGAAGCCAACCAACCAACCAACCAACCAACCAACCAACCAACCAAAAGAAATATTTTTTCGTTAACAATTGTATATCTTTTCATAAATCACACTTTTTGTTCCTTTCGTCTTTTAATATCCAAGCAAAAATTTTCATTTCATGAATAATACACATACGTAGAGCTTTTCAACGAAATTTACTCATAATGGTTACAAAAATTGATGGCCACTGCAGCTTTCACTGCAAGGCAGCATTCATGAGCCAATACCAGACTTTGTGGTTTCGACCTACTATAGGTCTCTTCAGTGGTGACGTGAAAGCTTAGCGAAAGATGCAGTGGAAGACAGAGGCAAATCTCTTTCGGAGGTCTTCCGTCTATTCCATAGATGATGTCTCTATAGGGGGAAATGTCATTGTCTTTACTTGAAAGGGATATTTGTTCCAAGCAGATAATTTGGATATATTGTCCCAGGAGAAAGATTTTAAATGGCTGTATTATGATGATGACCATAATTTTTGAATTGAAAATTGTATACAGAAAGTAGTGTTAAACTGAGAATTTTTGTTTCAGATTTTTAGGCCAAAATACTTTGAGCGCTTACCAGCGAGCCAAGGTAGCTGCATTGAGCATTAAGGATCATGTTACTACTATCAGTGGCAATGTAATGTCTCCAGTTCTTGCAAACACCCAATCGGAACAAGTGCAAACTGCATTGTGAACATTTTGAAATTGTTCTCGGATCAGTACCGAACTGATGAAGTAAATTTTCAAGTGGAGGAAACAATTTCTCCTTAAACGAACCCTAAGACATTTTAAAGATTCATGTTGCAGGTAGGATGATGTCTAGAATATTTCAGTTGTGCCAACGTTTCCAGTTCTGAATAATTTTAGGAAGACAGAATAATGATCTTTCAAATATGTGTCAGTACTTTATAAATCACCGGCAGTTATTGTGCCAAATACTAGAGACTACAATAATTAATTTTCTTTCTAGTCCTACCTTATTTCTTCTGGAAGTTTTATGACGATTTTTTTCTATTTGAGTATGAAATGAATTTCTCAATTTTACTTTCAATCCATATTTAATGTGAACGTTAAAAACATAATTTCAATGTTTATTTCTGTCTTGCAAAAATAATTCAAGTTAGCTCAGATAACTCACAAATAATTGATAGAAAATAATTTCGCACAGAAAAAATTTTAGTGATAATATATTTTGAAAGGCTATGCTACATGCTTTTCAAATTATTTTGATACATTTTTGTCTGTTTCGAGTGTCATGTCTCAGATCAGATATTAAAAAAACGCAAATTAAATTACTGTCTTGAAGAAATGCAGAATATTGAAAAGATACCTTCAAAAATGCCGGTATTCACAGAAATAATGATCTACCCAAATAACTTCGTCAAAACATTGTGTGAAATTGCAACCTGTAATTTGTAGAGACAAAATCTTTACTTTCTCAAAAGCTGATTGAAAGATACAGCAATGAACACTTTGAAACTCCAGATTTCATGTGATTTTTAGAAAACAGCGTGTTGTTTACTTCGAAGTTTCTCATACCAGTCTATTATTGTTTTATCAATAATAAATTAAAAAAAGTTGGTGTATTGTCTACAACCAAAAATGAAGCAGCCAAATTTTATATTGTTCTATATAAGATAGTAAAACATATAAATTACCAAATTTATTAAATAATCGTTGATTATCTTTGTGCAATAAAAGTGCCAATAATATTATTGCTTGAAATAAAATTGTTAATAGTATTTTTTGATGATCTCCAATTTCAGATTTTGATACTTTAAATTTTTGATAAAAATAAAATCTTAAACGTACTAATTTTAATGAAAAGATCATTAGGTATGTACACTAAAAAATTAAAAGTTGAGTAGTATTTTTGTGTTTGTACATGTGAATCCTTCTCTACCTTCTTTGAATAGCCGATGTCTATAAATTTTACTTTGAAGTTACCCTGATAAAAAAATCTAAAGGATAATGTTCGGAAAACTGGTTGGACACAGATTTGTGGAGTATCTTCTCATTTTTCGTGAAAATAATGTTTTGTAATAGAAGTAGTAGGTTATAGCTAATAATTGAAGTCAGTAGCTTCTACTATTAAAAATCGTATTGCAACTAGATGGCTCAAATTATTGTAAATCCGAGTATAGTTTGTATTCAAAAACATTTTTGTAGTGAAAATTTTTAATTAATTTTGCTTATATGTATTTCCTTTCAGCGTTCTCATAATTAAAATGACTCTGTAATTTTCAGTTTTTTCGAAACTATAATAATAAAAGTTATTATAGTTCATTTTTGAAAGTGGCGCAGTAGGTTAATATTATTATGTATGCCCTCAGAGGGTATTTTAGGTATTGTCACTTGGTGAAAACTTATATTACTGCATTATTTTTGAAAATGAAGTATAGTAATATTGGATCATGTTTTGGAACTAAAGCAGTGACGTTTCAATTAACTTTCATCATATAACATAAGGGTTATGAGTTTGATCTTCTAAACTTTTATGATTCACGAATAGACAGACCTCCTTATGCCAGATACATTAAATCAGACTTTTCAACTCTTTATTAAAATTTTTTTTTTACATTGATTTCCGATTATGATGATCGGAGTACATGATGATGATAAGCCAAATATATCTAGTGATTATTATATTGTTTGATCAATGAAAATTTTGATGTTGTAGAATATACCCATGTTTTATTTAGGTTGTATATATAATATTTAAAAATACTAATTGTTGTATATAAATATATGAATATTGCAAAATCCTCTACCTTTTTTTTATATCCTCGAAAATTAACTACTAACGGTAAGATGTTGAAGAGGGGGCATGTTTTTAGTGGTGATTGAATGAACTACATTGCTTTTTTTTCATAAGGTATGAAACTCTAATGAAAATTTATGCTCATTATTGTATCAACCAACAAAATTTCAATAAAAATCCCGTTATTATTGATATTGGTTTCTTAGTTGGTTCTGGTGCATCTGTTGAAATAACGCACGTTATTTCACGTTCCTTTCTGGAATGTTATTGAGTATTTCTGATGTCTGACCTCATAGTGCTAGAACTGGAACAGTTTCCGTTTCCTCTTCTGTCCAGCCTTTGGCGTTGGCTGTTATCTCGAACTGTCAATGGCACAAGGCTCATGCTGAATGAGGTTTTACACCTTACCTTATTTTACCTATTTGCTGTTGAAAAAACTGGTTCTCATGGTAACAGGGAGATCGTTTGGTTGGCAATCTGGTTATGTTCGAGTTTGTATTTCATTTTGTTCACTTGTTTGTTTCTCGATCATTTCGTCCATAACTCATTGATGTTTACCAACTCGTTTTCAAGTCATTTTATTTGGCAAAAGATAGCAGTTCTTCTTTGTTCCCTTATTACAGTTATTACTGTTTTAACAACGTAAATCTCATCTAGCTATAATTTCAACTAAAATATCTGGTAACTCAAAACTAAAAAACCGGTAATTTTTCGAGTGTAAGTCGAATGTAAGAAATGGTGAACTTGCAACAAGTTCGTTATATCTAAGACGTTTAAGAACCCCAATTTATTTGTACCTATTTATTGGAGAAAATATGCATTTTTAGATGTAAATATCATATGTAAGCAGATGGAAAATAGGAATTGAAAGTGTTCAAAAAAGTATTCACAATATCTCAATTCAATAAGATAAATATTTAAATGTTGATTGTAGAAACTAATATTATCATTGCTATCTGAATACATGAATGGTGTTTTATATCTTCATAACCCCAAGTTGAAATCTATGTTAGAGGTTATTCTCAAAAATTTGTCTCGTCCCCCTTTATTCTTCTAAAATACTCTAAGGAGATATTTATACGAAAACTTGGAATTTGTACCCAAATTACCCAATTGATTTATACAAATATTTTCGACAATAGACTGCATTCATGTATGATCAGGCAATTTTGAATTCTTTGTAATTAATGGAATAGTGGTGAAATGGCTCAGTGGTAGTGCGCCCGACTCACGATCGGATTCTCGAATCCCACCTGAGCAACCGAACTTTTCGTGTGGGGCTGGATCAAACCACATCTGCGAATGATCCTGTTTGACACCGCACTTGCACTCCCAGTATATGCACAACTTTCCGATGTTCCCGAGAACGTGGCTATATACTCAGATGAGACTGCGATATACGCGCATTCGTTCTCGAGCGAGGTGGCGAAGGAATAACTGCAATTCCACTTCGTCGTGCCGTATTTTGAGAGGAATAAGATCCAGAATAACCACAATAAAACAGAACTCGTTAACTTCTCGAGGAAATTTAATAACGTGAATATCTTCGGCAAGCGAGTTAAGGGTGACTACAGAAGAGCGCCTAAACTTTCAGGAACACTTGAGCTTGGCGGTGCAACGAGCGACTGCGGTGGTAAAACGCACGTATCTGCTCGTTGCACTAAGCTTAGTATTGACAACAAGTTGCTAATTTACAAACGAATAATTTGGACCAGCTATATTGTACGCTTGTGCCGTATTGTGTAGTCTGTAGAGAACTCCTCTGCGAAGACTCGAGACGATGCAGAATAAGGTTCTCTGTATTTGCACGAATAGTGACAGATACATTTAATTGAATGCTCTGTTACATCTGGCAGAAGTTTTGACGGTCGCTGAATAATTTCTTCAACTTATTTCTGCTGAAAAGCCCGCTGATAAGGGACGTCACCGTCATGGATTTCTCGTGATTTCAGAATAACTCTTACTTGTTTTTTTCATGAACTTTTTCCAAGAGGCTCTATCATCAAACACGTGAGATACATTAGACACACCATGTACCACACCATGTACCGAACTGCAATTTACCAATATCTCTCGCGTAAGCCCCGGCAGAAGCCAGAAGTCCTAGACTGATGCTAAAATGAAGCACTTTTGAGTGCTGTCAGTTTCACCCTTTCCTGCAGCCACCCCTTTCCTGCCCACTCTACCCTACTCCCGCATATGGGAGAAGATTATATTCGTATATATTGTAAATAGTGTTTTAATTAGCATTACAACCAAAATAGGCAACTAGGAATTTTGATTTTGACTCACGATCGGAAGGTTGTGAGTTCGATCATAACCTCAACCAGATATTTTTGTCGAGAGAATTTATCTAGTTGAAGTTGGGATGATTCTGCAATTTTCCATTGCTGACCCACTATGAAAAGCCAAGATGCTCCCTAGGTGGCTCGGTGAGTTATTAACATCGTTCTGGGTAGTCATGATACTAATGACCAATGTAGTCGATGCCGATGACACCAAATACATTCATGGAATACGAATATAGTATTCGTTCAGGCACATTTGCTTGAAAAATTATTATTTTTTTGATTATTTGCTCTATAAATAACAACAAATTCACATGTAGGAGTTACTTTTAACAATTGATCAATTGAATTCTTGGCATTACTTTTCTGTAGAAATTAATTTGTTTTATTTTCGACTGTTATGGTTATTAGTTTAGTGTTTTGGGTAGATAATGTTAGTGTCATTTGAAAAAATTGATATGTTAGCCACCTAGGCTATTCGCAGACCGTCAGTCATGTACTCTATCCAAAATGTTTGGATAGAGTTCGAACTCACGAATTATCGATCGTGAATCGGGGGTTAATTCACCGCTAATTAATTTGTTATCGATAACATGACAACACAACTGTTTGGTTTTGTCATTTGATAATAGGAGACTATAAAAAAAACTGTTTATTTTTTATGGCTCCAATGACATGACTTGTCAATAATAATCTGAACTTTCACACATTGCAAATATTGAAGATTTATGGATTTTCAAGTAAAGGAGTCGACAGCAACTTTCGATATGTTAGTAAATAGTTCTATGATGAAAATATTGTGTATGAATAAAGTTTCTCTAAGAACTTTCTGTTTTTTGCGTGGTCTATGAAATTGAACACTTAAGAAAAATGATCGAAAGTAATACCACAAGATATCAACATTTTATTGATAAATTTCCATTTTTCAACATTTTTTTTTATTTAGCAGTACCATGAGAGCAAACACTATGATAAAATCACGAGTCCACATTCGGGACGAGTAGTTTTATCTATTGCTGGTTGCTCCATTGGTATTAAAAAATAAGTTTGAGTTTAAATAATGGACATTTATCTCAGAAAACTTTCAGGTGGAGTGTTGTTCGTATTTGAAATATTCTCAGTTGAATGCATGAATATAAGAATAAAATGTCACTGCTCGAATTAAATGCATTTTATTACCTGACTAACGAGGAATTTCAGCAAAGAACATTTGTTTGAAAGAACAATGTTTCGAAAGTATTTTGCTTTCATGTAATTTAATGTTTCTACGGAAGTAGCTGTTTTTGAAAGGCTTTTCTTCCAGTTTGTGTCTGAATGTACAACTTTGCATGTTAGACCAGTGATCACTTATGGTGCAATTGCCTGGTGGCCGAAGGCTTTATAGAAAATGGCCCAAGCGGAGCTTTCTGACTAACAGAGACAGGCTTGTCTGGGTATCAGTGGTGCCATCAGTACCACACCGTCAGTGGCCATGGAGATCCTTCTAGATCTACCTTCTCTCCACATTTTTCTGGAGAGAGAGGCTAGATGGACTGCATATAGACTTGTGCACATTATCAATTGCACAAATCAATTGTAGAGTGCAGAGTTGGCTGACACTGGAAGTCATAGCATTCTGGAAATGACCTCTGACTTTATGCCTCCAACTGTCAGCTACGAACTGCCTTATAAAGTACTATTCCCGAGCAGAGAGGACTGGATCCTCCGGGAGAAGGAAATATTAGGAGCAGATAGTTGTTGGTGCAGGTGCTTTCAGTCATAGACCCAGGACAGATATATCAAACTGCCTAGGAACCTATGCGACTGTATTTCAAGCGGAAATTAACCCTATTGAATTGTGTGCGGAAAGATTGGATAAATCCAACCTCACACACAAGTTAATACAAATATTCTCGGACAGTCAAGCGGCGTTGATAGCTCTTGGCTTCTACCGAGCAACGTCTAAATTGGTAGCAAATTGCAAAAAATTACTCTCCTCGATAGGAAGACTTGACAGATTATCTCTGGTCTGGATTCCTGGCCATACTGGCCTGGAAGGCAACGAAGCTGCTGACTCCCTTGCAAAGGAGGGTGCTGCAAGCAGTTTCATGGGACCTAGAACCTGTCATTGGCATCGCTTCAGGCTTTGCCAAACAAACTTTGAACACCTGGATGGCAAGAAGATTTATGGACTTCTGGCAGAATCTTCCAGGATTGGCTCACTCCAAGGCGTTTATTCACCCTTCGAAGCTTGTTGGACTACAGCAGGGATGAACTACGATATCTGATAGGCCTTCTTACAGGTCACTGTCATTTAAATCATCACATGCAGTACTGTCGGAAGACAGTGTGTGTCGCCTTTGTTTGGAATATGATGAAACAGCAGAGCATATACTTTGTGCCTGCCCCGCTGGGGCCCAAATCAGGTTCTTAAAGTTCGGCAGAGCCGTACTCTTACCATCTGACCTGAATGACCACTCACCATACAAACTAATCGGCTTCGTTAAGAAGCTGGGTTTGTTTGGCCGAGTGTGAATAGGTGTGAGCCACAATAAACCCTTGCGGGTTGCGGTGGAGGGTCAAATATACCTCACTCACTTTAGATCTAACCTAACCTAACCTAACCTATATCTTTGCGTGATCTATACATCTTTGTATAGAGTTAATTTTTTGAAATTGATTGCTTCTTTTCTTCCTTTGAAATATTCTCACATTTTTTTGCACAAAGATGGAGAAGTAGAAAGCTAATACTTTTTCTTTCCTCAAAAAATTGATCTCTCCTAAAAATATACCCCTTTCAATTCAAACAAGATTCCTATAGCTGGGATTTAATCAAATAAGCGAATGAATGCCATTACGTACTGCCATCGATGACATGACTAATTAAACTCATTCATGACATGGAGTCCTGATTTTATGAAACTACAGGTTTGGTAGAACAAACCTGTAGTGTTCTACACTGCAGTTTTGAACTTCGCCTTTTGGATGTTACATTGTATTTCACCCAATAAAGACCATTATTTTTATTATTGATTCAGTGCTTCATCAGATAATGTTGTCCTGATTTGGTGCTGAAGAGTCGATTAGGCAAGTGTCTAATGCTAGAACATCGGATGTCCACCAGTGAGGATGACAGTGTTCCATATAAGTGAAATCGCAAGTTCTTTTGGATTTCATTGAATTTCAGAAAAAACATTTTCAATCGATTTGGAATTGTACTATCATAGAAATAAGTTTCGATTATGATGTTGACATTTCTGTTTAAGAACTCTTTCATCTGGGGAACTGCCTTAATGTGAATAAACTTCCCGAGAATGTTTTTCCAAATGGATTTAATCTCCAGCGATTCAAATCAAATGTGAATCGCTACTTTCGCACTGGCACCGCTCTGAGAACGCCTTGAGAATTTTCCTGTAGTGCTTGTGTTTGGTCCTTGAAAAAAAAAGATATATAAATTGTTAGTGTTCAAGGTGTAGTTTGGATTGTTGTCTTATTTTCGTGAGATTATGTGTGAGGTTATTGTTTTTCATTTCAGTCTCTTGTATATACCTAACTATTTGCTCATTCTATTGGTGAGTTTTATTTGATTTACATATTCATTTGAGTTGTATCAGGAGAGTTAAGAGTCAAGTCACTATCATAATCATAATATCAAATTGAACCTGTGAATTTCTGTTGAAGAATTTATACAGAGTTTTAATATTCAGACACAATCATATTCGATTACTTGGTTTCACTGGTTCGATATGATTAGGACAGTTGCTGTGATTGCAATTGTGAGAATAATGCTTTAAATTTTTTCATGATCTTCATCGATTTGAAGAAAATAATCCCGAAAAATTATCCTGATAAACTCCGTAGTGATCAGAAGTAAAACTCTTATTACAAATTTAACTAGAGTTATGAATGGAGTGAGCCGTTATTTGATGGAAATTATCGACACTATCCATGATAATAATTTTCACAAACATTTATATTTCTAGACGCGTTTCGTTAACACCGTAGCATCCTCGCTGCTAGAAATAAAAATGTTTATAAACATTGTTTAATTATTATCCTGAATTTAATGAGAAAATCGACCAATATTTCATATCTCCTGATAATTCTGTTTACGCAGTTTACGCACTTCCTCCGTTGATATTTCTCGTAAACACGGAATAAATATTGGAGTGCTTGCTTGACCACACATTGTTAAAATCTATTTTTGTGTTGAAAAAAAAAATAACAAAAACAATCAGTGATAAACCGACCCAAGGATACTGTGAGAACGGCTCTCGTAGTTAGCCCTTCTGTGTTGTGAAAATTGTTTCATTTTATCAGTATTCATCCTTAGAAATTGATATTTTTTTCATATGGTTTTCAACCGAGATTGATTACTCAATATTTGAGGTAGGTGAATTTTATTTTTGAAAAATTAGTTGAATACGAAATACTTTTTTCAAAAAGAATAAAACTATTAACTTTTTGGTGTGGAAAATGAACTTTTTTCAAGCCCAATCATTTTCTCTTCTACTGATAATTATCGATATTATTATATAAAATGTATCAGTTATTCATTATCGTAGTGTTTGAACCTATAATTTACGACTGCAAGGCAAATACCATGGATAAAAAAATTATAAACATATCATAAGTAAAGTGAAAAATGCAGTCAGTAGTATACTGTAATATACAGTGATAATTTTTTTTCAATATTGAACTTATATATTTTATTATTTAGCATGTATATTAAAAAAATATATTTTAAAATATAAATCGATCCTAATTTCAGAATATTTATCTCTACCTTTCTATTAAAATTTTGAAAGATTATATAAATCTTATGAGAGGAAGGTCAGGTTCATGGAAATGAAATTCTTGGTGCGTGGTTGTAATAATTGTCATTTATTGCAAAAATTGGTTTTGAAAAATGTACCTCGTGAATAATTCCATGAAAAGAGCACAAACACGATGTTGATGGCAGATGCGTGATATTGACTCTTNTAAGTGGTATATCACACTTGATATTTTTATAGCTTTTCATTTAAAATAATTAGCGTAATCAACGACAACAATTTATAATGAATCTATTGAAGCAGATATTTTTTAAAATCCAATTAAAATTGAATGGCGAAGGAAAGTTTGTTAATTTTTTAAGGTTCCGCAATATTTTATTTTTTCAACATGAATATTGAAAGGGAATATTCTTTAGAAGGGATTATGATTTGGAAAAATACTTTTTTGCTTTCTATTTTACCATCTTTATCAAAAAATATAGGTAGATCAGGCATTCAAGGTTTTTTTTCGGACACAAACTGGAAGTAAAAACCCTTTCCAAAAAACTACTTCCTTATAAACATTAAATTACACGAAAGAAAAAGTCCTTTCGAAACAACTAAGTACTTTCATGTGGACGTGGAATTACAAGACAATTCCTTTTTTCCATTTCGTTTTTTCTTCAACCATTCGTTATGAAATTGGAACAGATATCACTCCCAAGAAAGTTACATAACGTAATACGAGTATATGAAAAAATGTTGATATGAAATTTCACTTACATGAAAATGTGTCATCCTTAAGGTGTACCTACTTATCGAAGTTTCGGGTCGAAGACTCTTCGATGCCTTATCAGCATCTATTTGAACTTTTGAAGACGAAAACACATGCACCTCTCGCAACTGGGATTAAATAATATGAATGTCATTACGTACTGTCATCGTAATAAGAGTATAGATTTATTTTTTTATATGACATGCAGTCGTAATTTTGAGCAAGAGGAGTTTTCGTCTTCAAAAGTTCTTGTGAGTGGTATATCCATTACAACTCCTTAACGAGTGTTTGGAGTACAAACTGCATAGGAAAAAGTATTTTTTTTTGTAATTTAATGTTCATATGATAGTTGTTTCAAAAGAAATTTTTCATTCGTGTGTACTACTATAATTCCAAAATAGTAGGCACTAAATTCTTAGAAATTACTGACGTTTTTGCCTTAATCTGTCTCTTGTAGTGACGTACGGAAATTATACTAAACAGATGAGGAAAAATGATGATAAAATATATAGAATTACTATCTCGACAACAATGTTTTCGTTTTAATACAATAATATTTCTGAGAATTCAATGCCTACTATTATGGAATTGTACTATAATTCAGTGCTCATGTGAAAGTAGTTGTTTGGAAAAGGAAAAGTTTGCGTCTGAAAGAAACTTCTATACAGTTTTATAAAGAGTTTATATTGAACTCAATTGCTTTCATCCCTATTCCAGAAGAATCCTACATTTTTAATTCAATGACAGGTTCTAGTTTGATGCGGCTGCTTGCAGCACCCTCCTTTGCAAGGGAGTCGGCAGCAATATTGCCACAGTATACTTATATACAGTAGTCCCACTTAGCGTCGGTCCCTTTGATGTTGGTGTCCAGGAGTTTCAGTTTTTACAATGCTGACGTATTTGACACTAATGACATTACTTCCTACTACAATCTCAACCAAAGCGTATAAACACTGCTCAACATAACAACTATTCATATAAACTGCTCAAAAAAGTACAGTCGATGAAAACCATGTTGCACCTGAGAAAATTGTAAAAATGATAATTTTGCATTTGTGTAATATTCAAGTAACCCAGATCATTTGGACAATGATGAACTATGTTTCAAGTAGATTTTAAATATTCATGGAATCGGCAGATGTTTATATTCGAATGTGACAAAATATATTTTCATTTCAAGAAAAAAGACAAGATGAAGAAAGAGTTTTGTTATTCATGAACCATGGTACGAATCCATGCGACATTTCTTTGTAGTGATTTTTGGGGCCGAATATAGCATATTCATTTATTGATTTGAGAATTCAAGATGACGGATGAGTTTGCTGATTCGATTATATTAAGGGCCAATCATTAAAAATATTCTTAATCGAATTCATTACTCAAGATTTAAGAATCTGTAGAGCCTATTCTTTTTGAATTATGTAGTATTATTTAGGACTTGAAGAAGTAAAAAAGTAATTGTGTAGTAGGTTGGGTAAAACCTATGAAATTTGACAATTATGGAAGGGTTGCGTGCCTGTTTCAAACTCGTCGTTTGCGCAGACCTGAGACTGCAACTCCTGGGTCTGCGCATAGAAAATTCAAACCAAAAATCACCCGAAGTGGGGTTACTGTATAAGTATACTGTGGCATTTTTTTTTGGGCCAGTATGGCCAGAAATCCAGACCAGAGACAATCTGTTAAGTCTTCCTATCGGGGAGCGTCGTTTTTGGCAATTTGCTACCAATTTAGATGTTGCTCGGTAGGAGCCAAGAGCTTCCAACGCCACTTGACTGTCCGAGAATATTTTTATTGACTTATGTATACGGTTGGATTCTTCCAATGTACCAATGTACCATAACGATGTAATTACAAATTTTGTATCAAACGTCTCGCGTTAAAACGGCCACCACCAACAATTTTTTTTCTTTTATTACAAATATTGAATAAGCCACAAAATCAAAATTAAGTGGTATATCACACTTGATATTTTTATAGCTTTTCATTTAAAATAATTAGCGTAATCAACGACAACAATTTATAATCATGGTTCCGTCGTTAGCTCTTCTACAAATTGTTTTGATTTCTTTAAAACGTATTCAACTATTGGCATGCCTCAGACATTACTCAATAATTTCGATAAGAAGATACCCAAACACAACAAACATTCGTACTTTTCCTTGTTGGAAATTTTTGTATTACAGTAATCCTTGTTTCAAGGCTGATTTCTCCTGAATAAATTTTTATAATCAATATTTTCATAATTCTCAATATTGGAACTAACGCAAATATTAGTCAATGGTACTAACTTCATTCGGGTTTGAAGCCCGTCGTAGTTTGGAACTGTATTCTGACATTTCGCCAGCACGAGTGTCATCAATTCGAGCATTTAATGTAGTTTGTCATATAGAATACATTTTCTGTATTAGTTTTATTCTTTTCCAAAAATTCAATATGATATAAATTGTTATTTTATTCGCTTCGAAAACGGGCAATACATAATAATCAGTTAACTAACAGTTTTTTGTACTGGTACAGATACGTAAATGATATCTTAGTCTATTTTACTGGTATAGATAGGCAATTAGGCAAGTTCATTGAAAATGTCAATTCCATCCACCCGTCAATAAAATTCACCACTAAGAGGGGTGTAAATAATTTAATAAATTACCTTAGACTTAACCATTACGAAAAATAACAATAAACATGAATTTGCAATTTTCCACAAACCATCTTACACGGACATTATCATACATAATTCCTCCTCGCACCCTTACCAGCATAAAGTTGCTGCATTTGATAGTATGCTTCACAGACTATCGTATATTGCACTGTCTGAGAATGATTTCCAGAAAGAGCTGAGTTTGGTCAAACAAATCGTGGCTAACAACGGTTATAAGGTAGATATTATAGACTCCATTCTTTCCAAAAAACTACAAAAGCAAGCCATGAACCTGGTTTACCAAAATTCCAGATGCGATAACGTCAGTGGACATATCTTAGTCAGTGTCATATCTGGGTGAACCAACCACTAATATTGCCCGTTTTTTGAAGAAAGAATGCGTAAACGCAGTTTACAGAATGAATAATAGCCTAAGTAAATTCATTAAAACCCATAAAGACAAAACTTTGGTGTCGGATAGGTCAGGAGTATATAAGCTGACTTGTGGTTCTTGCCCAAAACTAAATATTGGCCAAACAGGGAGAACATTTTCCCAAAGAAATGAAGAGCATAGAAGTAGTTTTGTAAATAGAAAGACCAATTTCACATTTGCAAACCACCTTTTAGCAGATCGACATGACAATCATGAATACGATGTGTTACATTCAGAAGAGGAAAGTTTGAAACTCAATTTTCTAGAATGTTTAGAAATCAATAGTTTAAGCAATTCGGGTAATTTATTGAATGATAAATTAGAATTTCATAACTCCCAGTTACTAAATTTTTTTTCAAATGTGAAAACTTGAAATGCAGGTACTTCAAATTGTAGAATAAGATATATTAAGTATTGAATATGTAGAATTAGTTAGTAAAGACACGCCCGAAGAAGCCATTGTATGGCGAAACACGTGTTGCGTTTTTGTAAAATCGTTTAGTGAAAATTTTACAATGAAGTGTTTTTTGAATACGTTAATAGCAGCAGTCCTACTGTTAATATGTAATCCGCTATTTTGTAGCTGCTGCCATCTTGGATATACCATGATACAGAATTTATTAAATGTATTGCCATCAAAACTAAATGTGTGTACCAAATTCTATTACTAAATTTGACTCAAACAAAAAAATAAACAAACAAACTAACTATTCTGTAGCCAGGTTATAATTTGATCATCACTCAAAACCTGGTAGTTTTGGCTAAGCACTTTGAGTATTTGTCGGATTCTTCACTGTTTTGGCTTGATCCATTTGAATCTTTTCAGAATGTATGTTTTTTTGGTTCTGGGAGCTGTAGCATCCTCATCAGCTTTCTTGGAATCGCTAATCTCCCTGAACGACTGCCCTCCGGCTCAGTTTGCTTGCAGGAATGGAAAATGCGTGGATAAAACTTTGAGATGCAATGGATTCAACAACTGTTTGGATGGATCTGATGAAATGGATTGTGGTAAGTATGACAATGATGGTTTCTTATACCTTTTGAAGAAATTGCAACATTTTTATAAAATGCCGGAGTAAAAAAATATACATCCAGTAATTATTATTCTCCCGATTAGCGTATCGTGACCTTATTTATGGACCGGCTCTAGATCAGCATAATGTATTACGGTTGCAAAAAATCCAAAATAGTTGTTTTCGATTCGCATACGGTAAACGGAAGTATGACCATATCAGCAATTCATTCAACGACTCAGGTTGATTGAGAATGAATGTAATGAGAGAAACACACCTCCTTACTGTAACCCATAAAATTTTGCAATCAGGAACACCATTATATTTGCGGAAAAAATAGTTTTTTTTTGTCGCGAAAAAATGATTCGCGTAATAAACATCTACTGCTCATTCCGAAACCCAAAACTGCATTATACATACCTAGTTTTTTATATAATACAGCAAAACTATGCAATAGGTTGCTACCCCAATAATTCAAAGACCTCAGATTGAGAAATTTCAAAAACGTTTGGCATACGTACAAACAGGCGTCAATACTAACGATATGAAATTATTTAATTATTCAGCCACTTTACTTATTAATTTTTTTATCATTATATTTATTTTTCACCTACTCCTTGTATCTATTGTAGTATACTTATACAGATATATTAATAATGAAGGTTCTTGTGATCTTATAGATTAAGTGTGTAGATACGTCCAAGGTTCGGTTTAAAGCAGCTTTAATAGCTGAACCTCGACCATTCATCATTATTTTCAAACATTCAATTGTAAACCATCGAATATCTGTTTATGTTCAAAATCTGTTATTCCGTTAATCAGCTGTCGCCCCCATACGAACGAGGTCTTACCTTTTAACGTGTGATTCCTAACACGGTTACATAATCATTCCAGCTTCAATCAGATAAATTCTGTCGAGAAAAATATCTGGTTGAGGCGGGAATCGAACCCACGGCCTTCCGATCGTGAGTCAGGCGCACTACCACCGCGGCCAATCCAACATATATTATTATTACTTTTCATCTTCTGAATGAATTAATGTAATCATATTTATTTCAGAATTGTATTTATGCAAAGAGCCGAGATATTATCGATGTAAGAATAAAAGATGTATCAGCAAATTATTTGTTTGCGATGGAGAAAATGATTGCGAGGATTTTTCTGATGAAGTCGAATGTGAGAACTTTAAGGTAATGTATTGTTTGATTATCATTCGATTTATTTCATTGATAGTTTTTCGGCTACGATCTAATGAATATCCCATAATACATAGCTTGGAGCTGAAATATACAGAATGTATCACTTCAACTTTGACCACCCCTGTATCAATTTTGTTTGAAGATATATCTATTTTTCAAACTGCAACAATGTGAATNGATGCGGTTTTTTGGTCAAAATTCAGCAATTCTGGAACGAACTGCCACATGCTTCATGTCCAAAATTTTCGAGAAAATTGCATGCATGAGCCAACCAATATGCCGACATCCTTTGCAATTCCTCTAATAGTGATTTGGAGATTCTCCATAACAATTTTCTTCATTTTCTCAACATTTCCATCGGTTGTTGATGTGCTGGGGCGTCCAGGGCGTGCGTCGTCATTCGCATCTTCTAGACCAGTGGTACTCAACCTATTTTCCCCTTGGGCCACATATAGTCGCTACTGCTAGACCTTGCGGGCCACAATAATAAAACTGAACTGAACAAACTACTTTCAGGTTTTGCGTTATTAGAGTTAGACGTTGTATTTAAAATACAATAAAACGCAACTGTAAAATTAAACCATTTATTTAAAAATCAATGTGTTGATTGACATTGATGCAAACTATTTACAATTTCTGATAAATCTGGCACATAATTACTACATGCTACTTTCAAAACGTCGTTCAGGTGCGAATCACTAAGTCGGGATCTATAAACATTTTTCGCATATTTCATTTTTGAATATGAGGATTCGCACAGGTAAGTTGACGCAATGAAACGAAATGAAATTTCGAAACATTAATCTCTTCTAAGAACCTACACAGTATCAGCCGGAGAAGTAGTTGTTTCTCGGCAGGCATTTATCAGAACCTACTGTGTATGTAGTTGGGAGAGATGAATGTTTCGAAATTTCATTTCGAAATATTTATTTTTTATTCAATATAGTTACCTTGGAGGGTGATACAAGATTATAGCAATCATACAATTTCTTGATACCATTTTTATAGTACGGTAGACGATTACCTGTTCATCGTCCCTGAATTTCCTTCTAGCGAGCATTCTCTTCACTCAGGTCTGAGAACAGAAAAATGAATGGGGACCAAATCTGGAGAATACAGTGGATATGGAAGCAATTCGAGGCCTAATTCATGCAATTTTGCCATCGTTTTCATTGATTTGTGACACTTTGCATTGTCTTGATGAAACAACAGTTTGCTTTTCCTCAAATGGGGCCGTTTTTCCCAATTTCATCCTTTAAACCCTTCTATGAGGCTGGATATCAAATTATATCCGATAAATTATAGCCGCTGTTGATGGTTTTCCCTTTTCAAGATTGTCGATGAATATTATACCATGTGCATCCCAAAATACTGATACCATGACCTTGATAGAGCCATGTTTCATATATTGTCACATATCGAAGCAATAATTTATATTTTTAAAGGTGGAACAGTTTAAAATACTGATCAGAATAATCAATTCGTTGTTGTTTTTCATCCATTGTGAGCTCGCGAGGCTCCCACTTTGAACAGAGCTATCGCATACCCAAATATTCCAGAACGTTCTTTTGATATCTGTAGCGTCTTAGCTATCTCGATCAACTCCACTTTGCGATCGTCCAAAATTATTTTGCAGACTTTTTTGAGATTTTCGTCGCCTCTTTGGGGCGTCCCGGCGTGCAAACCACTTCTCAACGGTTAATTTTGAATAATGTTTTACTCAAAATGTTCTATCCCACAAACTAATATTCCAACAGCTGTGAAATTTGTACACGTGTATTTTGAAGGTTAGGATTGACTAATATTCATATGGATTCAATACTAGTATCGCCATCTGTGTGTTAGCCTATGACATTTTAGCCCATCTAGGTTACCTACAGTTTGGTGAACACCAATATATCTAGGTTTGATTCATTTTTTTATGGGGAACATTTTTTTCGAAAGTGGTATATTCGTTATTGAGAAATTGAATGTTGAACGTTTTATTTAGGGAAAAAAACAGAAAATTCGCTGTTCAATCAACGGATAAAGTGTTCAAAATGCATACAATAATGCAGTCTACTTTCGAAAGCATTCCTTACATCATTGATGATGTCCGGAGTCAGAAATCGGCATTCCCGAACAATTCTCTGTCGTAGGTCTTCTAGATTTGTAGAATTAATTTAATTAGTAGTAAACGTTTTGAAATGGACGACGCCCTGTATAGTGGAATATCAATGTCTGTAGTGAATAAATTACGGTCCAAGATTATTTGAAAAAATATTTCAAGTTGGTGAACAAAATTGTTTTTTCGTTAAAAAGGTAACCTATCCGTATTTGCACACAGAGGAGAAACTCCATTTTTTATGATTTTTACAATGATTTTTCAAATTCACTACAGATATTTTTTTACTGAAATATTCATTTGGTTGTACATTGTACATTGTACAAAATTGTCTGAAATTATAAGGACACTTTTGAACGGATACAAAATGTACCTGTTTGAAAATGTCCTTTTAGGACGAAACTGCAGTAACGTTAGTTACAAATACAAGTGGTATGAAAACATAGAAAGTTTTATTTCTCATTTTTCATTAAATCAAGAACGTTCTGTATCTGGTATCTGTAGAGTAGGGAGGGTGAGTGTGGAGTCACAGCACTTAGGCCACATGTGACCCATTGTACCTTTTCCCGAGGAGTTGTCTAGCTAGGTCATCGTCCATCCTGTCCTTTCCAGGAAGGTGAACAGGTCACTAGGAGACATCTCCTTTTTATTGGCAGGTGTAGGCCAAGACTCACCAAACACACACTCTTTTTGGCAACCTTGAGGTGTCTCACGGTGGCCTCCGCGAAGGTTTTGGAAGGTGTAGCGATAATACTGTCGTTGCGCGGCTTCTTCAACCTTCTTGGGGTTTCCTACGTGGAGGTGCACAAGTGAGGGAGCTTTCCTTCAGGGGCAACTAGTTCCTTGCCTTTATTCAAGGCGGAGCTTTTGGCGCCCGCCGCAGGAAGTGCCTTGCTGTTGCAGGTGATCTGCTATGTCCAGCCTCATTCCAAGCGGTATATTGGGGTGGACATTTCTGTTCATCCCCAGCCACCACCTCAGATTGAGGTGAGCACTTCTGTCCAGCCTCTGGATTGGTTCTTGTTTTTGTTGTTTCTGTTGTTTCATTCATGTGTGTTCCTACGAGTAGCAAGGAAAGAGTTGGTCACTTCTGGCAGAGCCACATTACCTGAGGTAATGAGGTTTCGCCCAGTTCCCCAAGGGGATCGCAAATTACCCTGCGGCCATTCAGATGTCGGCACGATTCCTTACACCTTAGCTTGGGGGGCTTTTAGGGGGGTTTTAGTTCCCCTCATCGTACTTATTTCTGCCACTGACCAGGAGTCCGGCGACCCCGTCCGTAAGGCCACATTGGCTTCTCGGACAGGGCCTCCAGTCCCCTGGCTGTTCCCCTATCCTCCACCTGGGGACGCGCCCGATATGTAGCCCAACCCACGGGAATCAAGAACGTTGTTTATATTTCAGATGTCAGATCACGTGAACACAACATGCGAAAAAGGCCACTGGCAGTGCACAGATAAACTGTGCATACCAAATGAATGGGTGTGCAATGGAGAATCAGATTGTTTAGATGGATCAGATGAAGGAATAGGGTGCAGCTCGAAAATAGAGTGCGATGGATTCAAATGTAAAAATGGTCACTGTATTCCTAACGAATGGATATGCGACAACAACAATGACTGTCACGATAATAGTGACGAGGAGGATTGTGGTGAGTTTTTGGATTTTTTGTACTTATTTCTCAGCATTATGAATAATATTGTCTTGTATACAAGAGTTCAGTTTTTCTTAATACGTATAATTTTTTAGACTCGCTGGTCTGAAAATTACTTGATTTTTTTTTTATTTTCTAGTGGTAGTTCGAGGAGGTTGGAACCACTTCAGGTTAAAGCTTGATTGCGAAAATTATGAGAAACCGACTTTCGTAGATATTATGGGGGATATTATATTCCAATGATAATTTTAACATTTGGTTCTAGAAATGAAAACATATACAGGCTGATTCACGGTGGATAATCGGACATTCTCTACCCAACTGCAGTATTTTCGGCAATGCGCGGTGCTGCCACTTTCATTAGAAAGTATTAGCAACTTTGATTTTTCGTATGGAACACCTTGTATATAATATTATTTTTGGAATCTGCAACAATAATCCGACAACTTTTCTTGATATTTTCCTATAACTTATCTGTTACCGTTTCCGAAAAATGAATTAATTCAATTATTTTCTTCGGAAATCATGACCTCTTAAATGCTGATATCTTTGAGTTAAGGAATACTATGGTACCGAAGTTTGGAGGCATTCCACACTTCAGCGTAATTTCTGTTACTTCAATACAGTTGAAAAACACTTTTTTCGTTTGCTTGAAAACGTGACTGAAAGTTGATTATTTCAAATGGAACACCCTGTGTAGTTCTCATAGGATCCGTACCTGTCGTTTTCATCGATTTAGGCTTTGCCAAAAAAATATTGAACACCTGGATGGCAAGAAGATTTATGGACTTCTGGCCAGATCTTTCAGGTGTTTATTCACCCTTTGAAGCAAGATACCAAATAGTTATTCGACTAGAGTAGGGATGAACTACGATATCTAACAGGCCTTTTTACAGGTCACTGTCATTTGAATCATCATATGCAGAGACTCGGACTGTCAGAAGACAATGTGTGTTGCCTCTGTTTGGACAATGATGAAACAGCAGAGCACATACTTTGTACCTGCCCCGCTGGGGACCGAATCAGATTTTTTAGAGTTCGACAGAGCCGTGAGTTTCTTGCATAAATACCTGTCGCATATATTTCAATATCGAGCGTGGTTTTAGCCGGGAAAGTAATTTTCTAGCAGGCATTTATAATAATCTACGGTGTAGGAAGTTGGGTGAGATTAATGTTTCGAGTGTTAGAGTATTGACACCCTGTTTGTTTATTCCCCGCTTGGGGTTTTCTTTATGAGATGGGGTTGTTACTAGTTAACAATCGTTCTATTAGACGAATGTTCCATACATGAAGTCGAGCCGTATTGAAATTAATCGAGTCCCAGACACTTCGAGATTTTACTTCGACATATTTATTTTCTTATATGATTGAATTATATTAAATTCTCTGCAAGTTCTGCAGATATTTTGTCATTTTTCCCACATAACTGAAATAAACTTAGAATATCTCCAAATTATTATCCATATTCATAAGCAATATTCAAAACACATTTCACGTGTAAACTTGACAGTATTGACTAATCTGAAAGAAATCAGTTTTTCATGGCCTTCTCTCACAAACAGTTATCATTTCTTATCATGTTTATTACTCAATGAACAAAGTTTTATTTAATTACTTCCCTCGATAAAAACAAAATTGAAATGAATTGTTATGAGTATTACTGAAACAGAAGTTTTCATTACCAATTGATATTTATCGATGAAAAGTCGAAAAGAGAAATGATGGATGAGGCGTTTCGGTATAGGATATAATTTGAGTTTTTAATGATGGTTTGACAAAATTTGGCTTTTGGAAAATAGAAATATTTCCACTAATGTGTTTTTTCGTTACGTAATTACATACTGAATGAATTAAAACATTTAAAAAGTAAAGTTCCATTGAAAAGAAAAAGGAAAAAAGAACAAAATTTGATGAATATGGTTTTGAGATTTTTTGGAAAAGTTCACTTTGAATGAAATGTCGAACCTGAGAATGCAAAAATATACAGAACGTTCCATTTGAAATAAGTTATTTATACGTACATTCTCATCGTGTTGAAGAACAGTGTCTGTTAGTATGATCTCCGATTTAAATACAAACTGTGGAAGTTCCATATCTTTTCTTACTCCCTGATGTATTTCATGTGTTCCATTTGGCATATCCTAGCATAAACTAGATTTTGTTGAAAAATATTGTAAAAAAATATGTCTGAAACGAGTTGATATATTAAAAATTTCATGGGTATGAAACTTGTTTATAATTCACTTTATTGAATGTATTCCTCATTTTAGACATAAACACGCACTTTCATAACACTAACTAGACAATAGTTTGAAGCAGAGATTCCCAAACTTATTTTATCATAGACCACTTTCGAAATATTGCTGGTTCTGGTAGACCCCCTGCAGCTACATCTCTACTATATTCCCAAAACTCGATAAAAAATGTGAAGATTACATCTGAAAATTTACTTTACGGCTGCGTTCCACATTTTCCGAATGAAAAGTGAGAATTTAATGGTTGATTAATCAATTGATTGTGCTGTGAGTTTTTTTCAAGGATAAAACACAAGCATTACAGGAAAATCTTTAAGGCGCTCTAAGAGCGGTGCCTGTGCGAAAGTTAATTAAATGAAAATGGTTTTCTTCAATTATAATGCTGAAGTTTAGTATTCAAAGTGCTGTATTGAGAATTCATTGTGGAAGTTAGTTGACTACAAACAGAACTTTTATTTGTGTGAAAAATAAGTTGTGGCATTATTCGTAAATCCAATTTTGGAAATGAAAAAACGGGTCTATTACAAATGACTAATGAAATTATGGTTTCATTATACATTCTACAAATCTGAATAGTTACACATATTACTTTTTTGTAGAAAATCACGTTCCTATCAACAAGTGCACACTGGATAATCGAAAATTTCTTTGCTCTAACAATAAAACCTGCATTGACCTAGTTCTTACGTGCGATGGCCATCCTAACTGCCCGGATGGATCTGACGAGGGACCCCTTTGCAAATCGGCAGTTTCTTGCCAAAATCACGGGTGCTCTCACGAATGTTTCCCTTTGCCTACAGGACCGTTATGTTTATGCCCTCCTGGATATCTTACTGAGAATGATAAACGTTGCCAGGATATCAACGAGTGCGAACAGTTTGGTGAGTAATAGAGTATAAAATTTTGTGCTAGTTATGGGTAGGCCGATATTTGATGAACGTTTGTGATATTTTGAAAACGACAAATGTTATATTTGCTTTGCCTACAAAAGTGTATATTTAGTGTCATTGAACCCGTGTAACTATCTTTATTTAACTTCTATTTCTATAACCCTTTATTTTTACCCCTTGAATTTTGAAACTGCTTGTTTGTGTGAAGCTGCTTGTTCACTAATGAATGGGCTTGTTTCATTCTATGGAAAATGATACTGGTTTGCTTGTAGACTAATCGAGTTAGGGGTATATTATACTTATCAAGCCTAATCGGTCTCAATATCTCTTTATATTTGCAGAAAAAAGAATAATTCGAAAAGCAAGAATTTAAATTGGCCGCGTGTTTGTTGACCAATAAAATTGATCGTGTCTAGAGAGGAGTTGACAAGTGTATTGGTTTTTAATATCCAATCACAGATCTGATTATCCAATCTGACAAACGCCATTTTTGTTGATTTTGTTGTAATTTTTGTTGTCAGTTGTATGAATACAACTGTTACAATTGTATAATTACAGAACGTTTTTTGGAAAAGGTAGGTCTCGGCGGGTACCTATTTTGCTGCATATTCCGTGTCATTAGTTTACATTCCGAAAAATTTTTTTTTCAGGTTATTTTTGGATTGATATGTTCTAGCTAGAGTAATTCTACATTTCACTGTACATATTTTTGCTTCTCTTTTCAGTCACCATACTGCTCCTTAGCCGAGATAAAATAAAAACTGAATCAAAACTCTCCATCCTTCGATAAAAGACAAAGTCTGAAATGAATGTCATATAAATAAAAGGGACCTACTAAATATATCACTTACAGTTTCAATTTTTCATTCTTCATTTCGGTACCAAAGTATTGCAAATTTTTCAAGTAAAATTCATCGATCATTTCAAAATCTACTCTTGGTAAGTTGTCGGGAGTCAGCTTCAGCAAAACTAGGCTAAATGTTCATTTTGAAATTATTTCAACAAAAATACGAAGTTTCTGAAAACCATTGACATTAGAAAGAGCACATTGTCGCATAAACTACNTATTTTTATTGTTCCTATTGGTTAATCGAACAAGAAGCGGGAATAGGGGTGTGACGTCACCACCCTACCACATTCGATTTTCAATAATTAATTACGGATAAACTACGGTACTTAGAGAGATGAAATGAAGTGCACTGTTTTTCAATTTAATATTTAAGTGAACTGTAGACCAAAAATCATGAAACAAGCCCATTGGTCGAATGTTCAAACTGACGATCATCACTTTCGTACAGTAAATATTTCGTTAGCGACATGGCAACTTATGAAAGGCCTCCATGATCATCAAATTCATTGCCCCTTTTTGTTTAGGGAATACCTATCTTTCATTTTGAGGGCGTCGATTACGAGGTCATTGGCCTTCCACTATTTCTTATCTTGTTTAAATTTTTGAGTACAGCCCTATAGCTTTCATCTTTGGATGCAAATATGATTTGTACTAGTGGATCTCAATTGAATGAGTTTTATAGTGCGTATAGTGAGCTTAAGGAGTCCGTACAAATGAGAAATTTTATTTCATTACAAAATTGATAAAAGTATGTTGCTAGTAGGATAACGTATAGTTTGGCTGTGAAAATACTTGTTTGTGTCAGTAATCTTCAACTCTGAGTCGAACCGCGGCTGGTAAATGCACATCCGTTACCTTCTTGGGTTTTTAATCCATCAGTGTAAATAACTATAAATCCAGTATACGTCGAGAGGTTAGGAGAGGTTAATTTTTGGGAAATAAAGTTTTTGGCATTCTACTTCTTCATGTCGATACAAAAAATTGTGGGATCTTCTAAAGAAAGGAAGGAAGCAATCACCTTCAAAATGAGTAACTCTACAAAGATGTGTAGATCATGCAAAGAAGTAACTTTCAGAACAAACTGGATACAAGTCCTATTGAAACAGCTACTCTTTCATTTAGTATATTGTGTAGGAATCCTGTGAATGATATCTGATTTACTTCCATAATGAATGTTCGGAATACATTCTGAGTAGAGAAAAGTGTTTTTTGTATAATTTAGTGTTCATATAAAAGTATTTGATTATAAAGTATTTTTCTCTCGTGTAATTCAATGTTTATATGAAAGTAGCTGCTACTTCTCTTGAAATTGATTGTTTCCTTCCTTTCTTTGGAAAGAACTGTATACTGAGTAAAGTTCAGTATTTCTTCGAACCTTATTTGGGCTGGTCTTGTAACCTATCGATTAAACTCTATAGAACACAATTAGAGCCTTTAGTTTTTAGAATTGTCGAATGAAATATCCTATCCATCTTGTAATTGACGGAGTCACTATCTTCCTATAGTGAGAAACCAATGGGTCCCCGTGTTTTTTAAATAAAGAAGCATTCTTTGTTTCTTTGTCGTTTGGTCACGCTGGATAGAATTACAAGAGCTTTGTTCATTTAACGTTTATGATATAATTTATTTTTATTCATTATCATTTTCAACAACTTGATTCCATAACCCAGTTTACAACTCAATACTTCTCAATTCATTTTATGATCATCAAAATTATTCAAAACTAGTCAATACAGTTCATTGCATCTTTTTGACTTTTCAGGGTTTTACAAAAAAAACCGCAACACGTCATTTCCTATATAATAGTTTTCTCAAGCATGAATTTGCTTGTATATCGAAACACGAGTCGCGGTTTTTGTAAAACCCTTCATAGTGAAAATCATACAATAAACTGTATTAATTTGCTTTAAAATGGATTTTCATCAAGTATCGGCCAGTTCTATACAAAATTATTTAAATTTTGTACTGTGCCGTGTCTGATATCCATATCCATAGGGACGCTAGTTTCTCGCAGTGGTAGGAACGCCTCTTCTTGGAGAAAAGCATTCTGTTTTTTTTAGACGACTCGTTCAATTGGGAGATGATTTGTAGAGATGATTGACTTTCTCTGGACAATATTATCATTCCCAACTATATTTCCGATTCAGACGTAACTTTGGAATATCTCTTTTGATCTGAAGCGATCTCTCCTGTCGACGAGAGGAAATTTTGGAATCCCAAAACTTTGATATTATGTGTCTCAAAATAATATCACAGAAGATCAATTCATATGCCGTGTTTATCGACTATCAAGCGATGCAACATATAGTGCTCTATTCGCTTCACTTGCAAACACCATTGACTTTTTGCAAATCAATGATCCCTGTGCCGAATTTTCCATATTCGGTAACTTCAATGTCCACAATATCGAATGGCTAAAATTTTCGAATAACAATGACGAAAAAGGTCGCGAAGCTGAGGCTTTGGCAATAAGTTGTGTACTTACTCAGATTATAAGATCCATCTATTTCTGCTTCAGAAGTAACGGAAGTTATTCTATCATCCATGGTTGCATATATGACTTTTTCAATGGAACGAACATCTAACGGCAATCCTTGGTACAAGAAAAATTGCGAGCAAGCTGTCGCCTCTAAAAATTTCACCTACCGGCAGTGGCGCAAAAATCCCAGTGCCGAAAACCGAACTAGGTTTCTTAAAGCACGCAACAACTGCAAACTCAGGATGAATGAAAGCAAAGACCTTCACAATCAGAGAATTAGGGATAAACTGTTTGCCAATCCCAACAGGTCTAGATCCTTCTGTTCGGTAGCTAAAGTTGTTAATCAAAGCTTTACAAAATTCACAATTCCACCACCAACACAATTGGATGGTTCAATTGCAACAACAGCCATAGAAAAAGCAAATCTACTAGCTGAAGAATTTGCGTCCCATTCCACAGTCGATTTTCCACAACTATTCAACTTTTTCACCAACATCACATGATGAATTGTTAACTTGTGAAACACTACAAACGGCCAGGCCATATATTTCAACTACAAGGTAGGGTTTGTAGGGGAAAGGCGTATCTACATGGCCTAGCGTAGAAAACTCGTCTCACTATGAAATATGTACTTTTTTATAATGCAGACAAAATAAATTCTTCTTGCATTATAATGTAATGAATCTGAGGCCGGCGCTGACCGTTATCTCTGACCAAACATATGACTCATCGCGAAACGCAACGACAATTCTAGATTAGTGCCGAAATGACGAGAAGAGATCTGCAGTGATCGTTGCCGCTATATAAGCCGGCCTTCCGTCCCTAGAGGGGGTAGTCTGTACTTAGAAAGTGAATCGTGCGTTTAAAGAAAGGAATCTGACTGTGAAGATAAATTAAGCGTTAGTTACTAAGTGTTGTATATAAATTAGTTGTGATAGTGAAATATTGTTACGGAGTGTACGCAGCCAAGCCAACAACTTGCCTGAAGAGTTGGAGGAGTTGATTGACATTTCCTCCAAGGACATACCACCAACTCACCGATCAAAACTGAGGGAGTTAGTCAAGAAGTACCAGGAAATCTTCGACATTGGAGAACCACGCTGAACCACGAATGTGGTTCAGCATAAAGTCGACACTGGGAATGCCCGACCAATCCGGCAATCAGCTAGAAGACTCCCTCTTGCCAAGAGAGGAGGCCGATAAGATAGTCAGCGATATGGGAAAAGAAGGAGTAATCGAACCTTCTGACAGCCCCTGGTCTTCTCCAGTCGTGTTAGTGAAGAAGAAGGATGGCTTGACAAGGTTCTGTGTGGATTATCGCCAACTAAATCACGTGACATAGAAAGACAGCTACCCTCTTCCAAGAATCGACGACACCCTAGACACGCTAGCCGGCTCCACAATTTTCTCGACCTTGGATTTGAAGAGAAGATCAAGAAAAGACTGCTTTCACCATCGGCTCAGGATTGTGGCAGTTCACGGTTATGCCATTCGGGCTTTGAAATGCTCCAGCGACCTTCAAGAGATTGATGGAGACGATTCGCAAAGGGCTCTCGTGGAAGACGTGTCTAGTGTATCTCGACGATATAATCGTGGTCGGAAAATCGTTCGACGATCACTTGAAAAATCTGGAGGACGTATTCATGCATCTGAGGAGTTCTGGATTGAAACTTAGTTTCAAGAAATGCCA